GAGATATCGAGCGGACACTGTTTCGGCAAATCCATAAAGGGGCATAACTCCACAAATTATGGTCGGATAATGGCGGTTATCGAACTTGTCCGAGGTTTCATGGTAATTAACCTTGTTGTGAAGTTTGAAGTTAATCTGTTAATAATTACTCGAGATATCGAGCGGACATCGTTTGCCCGCCCGCTCACGTGATAACATAATACGTCCCCGTCTTCGACGGGCGTATAAAAATGTGACAATTTTTATCAAAGTCACTTGATATGTATAGAAATATAACAAATAGAAATATAAGAACTGAAATGTTAATTACAAATCCCAGCTTTGATGCAAATTTTCGTGAAATCAACATTTTCTGAAGAAGGGTTGAAATCTTCAATATTGACATTGTGATGCCGAGCATTTTAATTCTCTGACATTTTGATGCAACTTCACTTGAAGTACAGCGTATGTGATTGAGTGAAATTGTCAAAGTTGTGATGTCACGAAAATTAATCTAAACAATGAGGACCGAGAGCCAATTACAATTCCCACTGAGTGTTATATCAGCATGTGTCATTGAGTTGTCGGGTGGTGCAGTGGATAGCGCACTTGCCTTTCACCAAGGCGGCCGGGGTTCGATTCCCCGATCGGACATGAAAAGGTTAGGATCACCTGTCCGACCACGTGGGTTTTCTCCGGGTACTCCGGTTTCCTCCCACACTTACACCCCTCATGCACTAACATCCGTGCCAACAATAGTGATTAATACAAGTTGAAATAACTTGTTTCATAATTGTTTTTTTCATTAGCATGTGTTTATAATATACAGTTTATGTTGTGGGTGTACCAGTGTTATAACATTGTTAACAGGGTGATCAATTTCTCAAATACAATTTAATTAACTTAATTTAAAGAATGAAAGTTTGAGACAGAGCCTTATGTAAAAAAATATTTATTGTGTTTATTGTCACCATCATTTAGTGTAATGCTATTATCAGATGTATACTATTATTGGACATATGTACATATCTTTTATGTGTTGTAATGTTACCATTCCATTGTGATGAATGTTTGTGTTCATATGTCATATCCCATTATTGTTATCATCATATGATTTGGTTTGTTTGTATTTGATGTCCTATTCCTAACAGCTATTGACATTAAAGGACATGCCAGGTTTTAGTGGTGGAGGTAAGCTGGAATTCCCAGAGAAAACCCATTGACTGTATGTCGACTGCCCCATGACTATAAGGTCTTGAACCTGCATAAGACTAGATCTACTGAGCTTACATTACTTCAAATTAAGCAGGATATAAACAAAAAAACTTTTTATTAAGTTAACTGAATGGTATATCAGTGACATCTTATAAATTGCAATATGATAACATAACAATAGCTTGACTTTAACTGTGATGGTCACAAGTGGAGATGATACATGAACAATGTTAATTTGAAGACAATAAGGTAACACACATGATGACCAAAATTTGGTTGCTCAAGAATACAGATTGGAACAGTTGTTTTGTAAAAGTTTGTCATTTGAAACATGATAGAGAATTAAATCTTCTTAAAATATGAAAACATGCTTTTTATATGGTAACCCTAGTAAAACGCAAAAAGACTGGTTAGTACAGGGTCTGAAATATCAAGTTACACTTTGTTACCAAATAAACAAAAATTGGACAACGATAGAACCAACGCTGTGATTGGAACCATATCTGAACATTTGAAAGAGGTTAATACGTGCAGATAATACACGACCATCCCAATTAACGGTATAAACATTCATAAAGGATTCATCTCACACAAAGCCACAAAGGACCTGAAATTATGACTTTTCATTTTCGTCATCTCGTCCAATGAAACACTGTAATGAAATTAACACTGTGAATAAATATAATGATAACCATAGCTAACGTCTAACATTGGAAATGTGAATGTATGACAAATTGCACACACCTAAGGCGATTTATTGTCATATTGACCTATTGTTGTGAGACCAAAACACGAGACGACCCAGTACGTTAGAAGGCCTTATCAAAGCCCACATAATGAGTCAGCTGGCCTATCAACAGCCTAACAGGACATCAAAATTAGCACATATGGTAGACGAATATCGAAATATATTCACATTTTACCCTGATCTCCGACATTTCGGAGGAAACGACGAGAATATCAGCATTTCCTGTTGTCTTTATGTGGACCAAACTCTCTCACAAAACCATCATGGCTGCCAAGCTATCGGAGGTCACGTGATCTACACATAGGTTGACATCACTGAGCTGAGATCCCGGGGGTTGAGTCTTTTCATTGAAGGAAAAAATGAATGGGATTGAGATGAGTCACTCTAAAATTTCAAATTGTTCAATATTTTAAATAGCAAAAAATAATTGGTACATTTATTTGTTTTCGTTTTCGACGTTCAGTTAGCAACATAAAATGAATGTGAAATCGTGAATATTAATCGTATCGATCGTGCCAGCTGTTCATCGTAAACATGTAGAGGGAGTGAATGTGCTTTTTTAACGCGCATTTCTTTTTGTGCCCTTCACTAGTGTCCCGATGACCTAGTTTGGACAAATTTATCGATTTATGACATGATCATTATTCAATGTAGTTTTAACAGAGCTCTAATATCCTTTTTTATGTGTTTGCGCATCACTATAGTATATATATATAGTTACAGTTGCTGAGTTGGCGTAGATCTAGACTAGGACGTCTTAAAATGTATGACTAATTAGTTCTATCAACGTCATAAATATAGTATAGACAAAATAAAATAGTCTGTGTAATTTATCTCATATGTTTAATAAAGTCATGGAGTAAATACAGTTATCAATGGAATTGACTCACCTGGAAATTTTCATTAAAAATACATTTTGGACCGAGATACTGACACTATTGAGTCGTTATATATATAATTAGTTATCTCTATTTTGATACAAATATGTGTTTCTCATATTATAAAATAAATTTGTTAAATTTGAGGTAACACTCATGTGTTATTTGAGTCATCCCGGCATGCGAAACAAACAAATTTACCACATTATTAAAAAAACCATATCATAATGATATAGATATATATATAGCCGTTATAATTAACTCATTTGGAATTGAGACCTACGAAATGATCTCTTTTAAAAAACGGCATTTTGTTAATTATGAGTCAAATCATCTTCCTTGAATGATTGTGTACATGATGACTATACTTTCCTATAGAACGTATGTGAAAGATCTAAAATGGCCGTTTTGAATTTCAATAGTATGCAAGAAGGACTTTTTTATAAGTACAGTGTGTAATGAAGTATGTGGATGACTTTCTGCGATTAAGTATGATTTAATGAGGACTTTCCACAAGTATGTAAATGTAACAAGGACTTTCTACAAGTATGTAAATGTAACAAGGACTTTCTACAAGTATGTAAATGTAACAAGGACTTTCTACAAGTATGTAAATGTAACAAGGACTTTCTACAAGTATGTAAATGTAACAAGGACTTTCTACAAGTATGTAAATGTAACAAGGACTTTCTACAAGTATGTAAATGTAACAAGGACTTTCTACAAGTATGTAAATGTAACAAGGACTTTCTACAAGTATGTAAATGTAACAAGGACTTTCTACAAGTATGTAAATGTAACAAGGACTTTCTACAAGTATGTAAATGTAACAAGGACTTTCTACAAGTATGTAAATGTAACAAGGACTTTCTACAAGTATGTAAATGTAACAAGGACTTTCTACAAGTATGTAAATGTAACAAGGACTTTCTACAAGTATGTAAATGTAACAAGGACTTTCTACAAGTATGTAAATGTAACAAGGACTTTCTACAAGTATGTAAATGTAACAAGGACTTTCTACAAGTATGTAAATGTAACAAGGACTTTCTACAAGTATGTAAATGTAACAAGGACTTTCTACAAGTATGTAAATGTAACAAGGACTTTCTACAAGTATGTAAATGTAACAAGGACTTTCTACAAGTATGTAAATGTAACAAGGACTTTCTACAAGTATGTAAATGTAACAAGGACTTTCTACAAGTATGTAAATGTAACAAGGACTTTCTACAAGTATGTAAATGTAACAAGGACTTTCTACAAGTATGTAAATGTAACAAGGACTTTCTACAAGTATGTAAATGTAACAAGGACTTTCTACAAGTATGTAAATGTAACAAGGACTTTCTACAAGTATGTAAATGTAACAAGGACTTTCTACAAGTATGTAAATGTAACAAGGACTTTCTACAAGTATGTAAATGTAACAAGGACTTTCTACAAGTATGTAAATGTAACAAGGACTTTCTACAAGTATGTAAATGTAACAAGGACTTTCTACAAGTATGTAAATGTAACAAGGACTTTCTACAAGTATGTAAATGTAACAAGGACTTTCTACAAGTATGTAAATGTAACAAGGACTTTCTACAAGTATGTAAATGTAACAAGGACTTTCTACAAGTATGTAAATGTAACAAGGACTTTCTACAAGTATGTAAATGTAACAAGGACTTTCTACAAGTATGTAAATGTAACAAGGACTTTCTACAAGTATGTAAATGTAACAAGGACTTTCTACAAGTATGTAAATGTAACAAGGACTTTCTACAAGTATGTAAATGTAACAAGGACTTTCTACAAGTATGTAAATGTAACAAGGACTTTCTACAAGTATGTAAATGTAACAAGGACTTTCTACAAGTATGTAAATGTAACAAGGACTTTCTACAAGTATGTAAATGTAACAAGGACTTTCTACAAGTATGTAAATGTAACAAGGACTTTCTACAAGTATGTAAATGTAACAAGGACTTTCTACAAGTATGTAAATGTAACAAGGACTTTCTACAAGTATGTAAATGTAACAAGGACTTTCTACAAGTATGTAAATGTAACAAGGACTTTCTACAAGTATGTAAATGTAACAAGGACTTTCTACAAGTATGTAAATGTAACAAGGACTTTCTACAAGTATGTAAATGTAACAAGGACTTTCTACAAGTATGTAAATGTAACAAGGACTTTCTACAAGTATGTAAATGTAACAAGGACTTTCTACAAGTATGTAAATGTAACAAGGACTTTCTACAAGTATGTAAATGTAACAAGGACTTTCTACAAGTATGTAAATGTAACAAGGACTTTCTACAAGTATGTAAATGTAACAAGGACTTTCTACAAGTATGTAAATGTAACAAGGACTTTCTACAAGTATGTAAATGTAACAAGGACTTTCTACAAGTATGTAAATGTAACAAGGACTTTCTACAAGTATGTAAATGTAACAAGGACTTTCTACAAGTATGTAAATGTAACAAGGACTTTCTACAAGTATGTAAATGTAACAAGGACTTTCTACAAGTATGTAAATGTAACAAGGACTTTCTACAAGTATGTAAATGTAACAAGGACTTTCTACAAGTATGTAAATGTAACAAGGACTTTCTACAAGTATGTAAATGTAACAAGGACTTTCTACAAGTATGTAAATGTAACAAGGACTTTCTACAAGTATGTAAATGTAACAAGGACTTTCTACAAGTATGTAAATGTAACAAGGACTTTCTACAAGTATGTAAATGTAACAAGGACTTTCTACAAGTATGTAAATGTAACAAGGACTTTCTACAAGTATGTAAATATAACAAGGACTTTCTACAAGTATGTAAATGTAACAAGGACTTTCTACAAGTGTGTTTGTAAAGAATTTCTATAAGTATGTGTAACGAGGACTTTCTATATGTGTGTAATGTGTACCATTGTAACGTGACGGGCTTTTATCCTTTCAGCCACTGACCACGCTCAACGTTGCTGAACTAGTGAGTGCACGTCCCATGGTCACCATGATCGCATCATTGGGAAAATCCCTCATATTCCTTGGCTGTCACACTATTCCCCTCTCAGAGAAGTCTTGTCCCGAGGCTTGATTTAGGCAATCCCATGGGCCAATGCACCTTCCCTATCCACCGGAAACTGGTCTTACGTGATCCACAGAATCCCACCGCTGCCACCAATTGTAACGTGTCAGGCGGTCACTCATCCAGTCACTGACCACGCTCAAAGTTGCTAACTAGTGAGCTCGCCCCAGCTAGGGTTACACCGCATCACTTGAAAATCTAGCTTGCCAGTAATACCACTGATATACCTTGGCTATCACACTTTCCATAAGTTTGTGAGTAACGAGGATTTTTCCGTAAGATTTTTGTAACGAGGACTTTCAAGTTTTTGCATAAAGAGAATTTTTGTAAGTGCAGTATAACGACTTGCGAGCACGTAGTATCAGGTCACATATGAAGAAAATGAGGGAGGCCAAACACGTTAGACACATTCCGGGACAAGTCATGAAGGCAGATGTACTCAAGATGAAGATAACTAGAGAAAAAACAAGAACGGAGATGTGCACAAAAAAAGACGCAGAACATAAGTAACGTGATTAAATAAACATATATAACTGCATTGGGCCCGTCCTCAGATTAGGATACTCAAGGTAGTTAACATCCTCGAGATTCGAGGTGCTGATATATCGAGGATGGGGTGAGGAAAAGCAGAACAGATTAAAAATAGTTGAGTGAAAAACAATCGATAAATACAGAGTTTTTTTCGTATTATTTTACTGCCCATCGACAATCAGAGGAATATCAACATTCGACAGATTAATAACGTTTTGAAATGTAGTATAAGAAAACCTATGGATCATGCAATTATATCAGAAAAGTATACCAAGAATACAATGGTCATCATAATATTAATATACATGTATTAAGAAGATATACTGATGCTGCTAGATCGAATAGAGTATACGTATGTCATGCGTTTTTGCTTCAACTGTGCAATCTGGAAGTTTAACGATAAGAAAATAAATTCGGAAATTTTCATAAAATACTCGATAAACAAGTTATACATATCACCACAAATGCAAATCGATAGAAAACGAGATCATATTGGACGTTATCAGTACTGTACAATATTGCACCGTATTAAAAGAGTTCTTTGCCATTTTCATGTGGTTTAATCAATACTTACAGTGTGTAAACATAGAATGCGCCACAAATATGATTAAACAACAAATTAGATGGACTCAACACCATAAAATTGACATAGATATACTTAGCTGAAATTCAGTAATTAAGCTCTGCAATACATCGATACTTAAACGGTTTACATGAAAGACGGCACATTCTTGTACTATTTTCTACTTTCTCGCAGCAATTTAACATGATAAATTAAAAAGTTTTTACATGAACAGCTGATGAATTATTTGTGTTTCTAGCATACCAATTAAATATTTACAGGTGCGTCGCGTTACATTCATCACATGCATCGGGCCTTTCCGACTAACAGCTGAGACTTTCTCTTATTTCTATGCAAATGCGCAGTTTTATTAACATATAAAGTGTCACGGTGTTTGTAATGAGTTTATCACTGTATATTCACATTTGCCCCCGCGCCGTCCCATTACAACAGTGTTAGAGGGCAAGTGTAATTATATAGGCTATAATTACAACTGCCTGAACAAAATGGCCGCCTGAAATGTATTTTGAGGCAGGGCAAATGGTTTTTGTAGGAATATGTCTTAAAAAAGAAAAATATGTAAATATAAAAAATACCTGGTTGTCTGGATGTAATTTTTGTTGATATAATTACAGGTGGCCGGTTTTATGGGATTTGCCAGAGGACACTTGTAATTATATCAACAATAATTACATCCAGACAACCAGTTATTGTTTAAATAATAGAGGGCTTATACTCATGAAGAAGGGAGAAAGTTTTTTTAATTGTTCAAATTCCTATATTTGAAAATGTTACATGTAATTCTTGGATTTAACTGTAACGTTACTCACACAATAAATGTCTTTCACGTTATGTTCTTTTCCCAAAGGGTTCTGTGTTCATTTGCTTTGTTTTTCAATTTTGGTAATTGTATTTCCTTCGTTTTTCGTCCCTCTTTGACGAAATTCGGCACCCAACTATAACGTTATGGGTTATACTATTTCTGTTGGTAACACTTATATGTAATTATCATAGCAAGCTAAATGGTCAAAACAACTATGGCAATAACGTCAAAAATTCGCTTAAATGTGGAGATGAAGAGAAAGCTCAATAAAATGGATTTTCAGAGAGTTCTCCCTCTATTGCTACCCTCCGCATCTTCCTTTAAGTTAGGAAGGTTTTTAGCCATTGGTGCAGAGGGCCTCTGATCCCATATGAATCCAGCTTGTGGAGTAGTCTGTCATTGGGAACTGTGTCAAAGGCCTTGGAGAAGTCAAGTATTGCCATGTCCACTTTGCCACGGTCAAAATATTTCAGTAGGTCGTCAATGGTGGTAATGAGTTGTGTTTCACAGGAGTATCCTGATCGGAAACCATGGTTCAGATATTGACTTAGATAATCTAATCTAATTCCGTGGTTCAGAGATGTTAGTACCCTATGTCTGTCCAGATGATCTAATAGTTTGTAGTTTGTACACAGTGAATATTAATATATATATATTTTAATTCTTATTTATCATATGTTATCAACTTAAATCAAGTAATTTCAACTGTGTTCAGACTGTGAACTTTACACTGTGTTTTGTCTTACAAAGGGAAGCAACCCTTACTAAACTTTAGCCTATATTGTAACTCTTTATCATTGAAGGATAGAAAACTTTCTTCAAATAACCGAGGGTGTCTGCAATAACAAAACTTGCTTGTTTAGCATTTATACAGGTAATATGGTTTGTATGCTTAATGTTTATTTCATACAAGTTGAAATTTCCCCATTTTATCAAAGATACATGCTAAAATTTCCATGACATGTTCGTGGAACTTCTTACCAGGAACAGTAGTTTCCGTGCTTCATCTTGTTGAAGTAAAAACAAAGACCGAAGACCACGCTCTTTACAAAAGTTACTAAGGTACATGGCTAAGGCAATCGTTAGCGATGTCATCACCCAGTTTTAAAGACGATATCTTTTGACATTCGATATAAACGTTGCTACATGTAGATAAAACAGATTGAGTTATGCATGATTAAACAGTTGAAATGGATGTACCTAACCAGCGCATGCGGGGTTTCTTTATGCACTGTCAACAAAAGTGGTAAATATAAAATCCCCACAGCAAAATTCAATGTTGTAAGAGCTAGTTTTAAACACATCCTGGGCGTTTTGCCCAAATGCTGTTCGCATACTAGTATGTAATTGTATATATATTTTAGTTATAAATGCATACTTGTTGAAATGTTTTTTAACAATTAAAAAAGAGGTATTTTTTTCATTTTTTAAGAACAATTATGTTGTCAGGGGAATTTCATGTATGTGTAGCTACATATACCTACATAACTAAAACAGGACTTAATTATATATGCCTAAGAATATTTTTTGGGCAAAACAACTTATATAAGCAGAGTGCGAAGCTACCAGGGACAAACAGGATTTAGGGTAAACAACCTGACACCCCTTTTCAACATACAACATTTGCAGATCCAAAATGTATTTATTTATTATCCATATTATTACCATTTATTTACTTTAAGGGGTGGAGCTAGAGAAACTTTATATAGAATAGTCTAAGCATAACTTCTTATTTCACTTATATACACTAAAAAAAATCAATGCTTATGTATTTTAGTATTCATAATAATCTTATGTTCATATATATATACATATATGGTGTGTGTTTATGTGTAGATAACACACCACATTTTCCTTTTTTTGTTTTCTTTCACAGATGATGGAGGTTTTGTGCAAGGCAGAGTGAAACAATTCCTTGTTGAATGTGGAGTGAAGTAATTTCATGCTAAGGTATCAAAGGGGTGTTTTCTGTTTATACAGAATATCTAGATACATTAGCTTATCTTCAGCTCCGGTAAAGTCACCTACGAGTATTGTAACACAGTCATGTCTTACCAATTTTACCTGTGATTCAAACTTTAGTAACAATTTGTTGACAAGGAAATCAGCCCCTTGGACCACTTTGACTTTGTCGAGAACCAAGAATTACTGTAAAATGGCTGATAATAGATATGTTATTGGATACGCAAAGCTCGGCACGTCTGGTTGTAAGGGCTGTAAGACGAAGATTGAAAAGGGTTCTTTGAGGATTGGGAAAGTGACCGCCAATCCGTTTGGTGGGGATGGAGACATGAAGCAGTGGTATCACCCTAGCTGTATCTTCAACACTTTCAAGCGAGCCCGCGCTACGACCAAGAAAATAGAAGAACCTGATGACATGGAAGGATTTTCAGAAATTCAACAGGAAGATAAAGATATGATCAACAAGCTAATAAAAGGTTACTAGAGTGTTGACATTCAATCTATCCACATTTCTCCTTTAAGTTAATAGAACATTTCCAAAAAACGTTCAGTGTGTTTCTAATGTAATGAGAATAATTTTGATAAAAATGATAGTACATTAATTAGTACATTAATGAGAAAAGTCTATTGAGTATCATCATATATGTAATGCTAGAAATGGAAATGTGTTGCAAAACCATAGGCCACTGGAAAAGGTAAACGAGACTGGCCTGCTTGATTAGGGTAGCTTGCCAATGCACCATTATTCCAATCAAGCTAAGTTAGGCCTAGCTGGTCAGCTTTCTGTTTACCTTGTTAGTACAAATCGAGCATGCCTTGGGTGGCCTTGTATGGCTAAACAGGATTACCTCACTTTTTCTGTTTGCATACACATCGTCCCAATTCCTATTAAAATAAATACATTCATAATTATTTCAGCAAAGTTTGAAATATATTTTGTAGAAATGTAGCTTTTTATAGGGACATAAAGATTGTAAATATATGAAAGCTACTGTAATTCAGAACACATTTCTAATTGAAGAAATTCACTCTCTATTTTCATTTTACTTTCTGTAGTAAATACTAAATTGTCAGTTTAATAGGTTCATCCAAGAAAATATGGAACTAATTTTCCATTGTAATTTTTAATAAGGTAATACAATTTTTTCATGAGAATACTGAAGAAATATTTTGCTACCCTAATATTAATTATCCTTCCCAAAAACATTTGTTTGTATTTAAATCCCAATAGATCCATTTTTATAAGCAGAAAAAAAACTAAATCCATTTTTTAGCTGGTATACCACTAATGCGTATAATAAAATAAGTATTCATAAAAAAGACACATACCTGAAATAACTGTTTCCATCCTCAAAATAAATTACAACAAAACAAAATAAATGGATCTAAGCATGCTTATTTTCTGTGTTGACACAAGCGAAATCACAATATTTAAAACAATTTGTCATATTGATAAAAATATGATTCAGTGATATTTCATGTTTTTGTTTTCTTTTTTTCTTTCACAGAAAACCTTGGAAATTCTAAAACACCAAGCAAGAAAACTCCAAAGGCTGTGACTCCCAAAAAGGTTGTTGCCTCTCCAGCTGCTGCCAAGTTTACCCCAGCTAAATCTTACAATGATGATGAGGAAGATGGTACTATGCTTTACATATCTTAAGATAATTACATTTCTTGATCTTACATTAACAACATTGGTGCTATATGCTACACTTTTCTAGATCTTGCAATAACAAAGATGATACTTTGTTTCACAGATCTAGATCTTACAATGAAGAAGATGGTTCTGTGCTACTAATTTAAAAAAAAATCAGACACTGATTATTCTTGTTTCTTCGTATAGTTAAACCATTCATTAATAGGTACTGGCAATCTTATTTTCTTATTCCAAAAGAAAAACGTTTTTTCCCATTAAATTTTAATGTACTGGTGTAATCACAGGGACTTGACACGTTCCTATGTCCCAGAATGAAAAATAATACCCCATGGTCCGACCCCCAGATAACTTATTATAAGTGATCTGGGGGTCGGACCATGGGGTATTTTTTTTCATAATAATAAGTGATCTGGGGTCGGACCATGGGGTATTGTTTTTCATTCTGGGTCATAGGAATGTGTCAAGTCCCTGTGGGTGTAATGGAGTTCAAAATGTCCATTGTAGATAGACCGATTTAGTCTTGTTTTATCTCTAACAAAATGTATGTCTGTATTCATTTATAAACAATAGGCTTGATATCATTAGAGAATGTATCCCCTGACCTTACTTCCAGCTGTTGTGCCCTCAACATCCTCCAAGATGCCGGATGATAATGGGGAGCGAGATGATGCATTCCGTGAATTCCGACGTCTATCTGCTGAAATTGCTGATGAGAGTAGTTACAACTCCAAGACTGCTCTGGTCTCAAAATACCTCACCAAAGGAACGACTGGAGGTTAGTTCATTCCCATTATTGCCAAACTTTCAAAATTTATTTGACTTACTTGTCTTAATTCCTTCTCTCTCAGTGGAGAATAAGGCCATGGACAAGTCCTCTCCAAGTGTTTCTGTCTCTCTGAGTGGAGAATAGGGCCATGGACAAGTCCTCTCCATGTGTTTCTGTCTCTCCAAGTGGAGAATAGGGCCATGTACAAGTCCTCTCGATGTGTTTCTGTCTGTCCAAGTGGAGAATAGGGCCATGGACAAGTCCTCTCCATGTGTTTCTGTCTCTCTGAGTGGAGAATAGGGCCATGTACAAGTCCTCTCCATGTGTTTCTGTCTCTCTAAGTGGAGAATAGGGCCATGGACAAGTCCTCTCCATGTGTTTCTGTCTCTCCGAGTGGAGAATAGGGCCATGGACAAGTCCTCTCCAAGTGTTTCTGTCCTGGGCTGATCTTGCTGCCTCAAAATCATTTAATTTGGGAGAATCCGCATGGCAAGGATAGTTGTGGTTCATAAGTGATTGTAGTAGGAATTGAAGATGGATACCAAATGGTATTCACTAGCACTCCATCACAGAATGTCAACACAAAGAATAGAATCTAGATGTTGTTGCTCCATCTTTTCCTATTCTTTAAATTACACTAAGCTCCAGCAAGCAACATTCACAAGCTTTCTCTCAGTCAATGTGTAATTTATAAAAGGCCAAACAACAGAAAACTTTTAAGAACCATATAGTAGAAAAAGGTTTTTAGTCAATAGGAAATAGTTATCATTAGCATATCTACATGTAGAGTGCAGGTGTGTTACTGGTATGTGTATGAGAAACCTTAATCCTTTCACCACTGTAGACCATAATGGACTCATCCAGATAAATGCATGGTAGAGTCTACTAAAGTTACTTAGGGGTGAAAGCGTTAAAAACAAAACAGTATGAATTTATGTTTACAGCTCTTCTGTATTTCAATGTTAGCACTTAATATAATCTCTACGTACATTCTATTGTTATGTGTTACAGAGAGCTACACAGGTAACCCTATCTACTTCTATTGTTATGTGTTACAGAGGGCTACACAGGTAACACCTATCTACTTCTGTTGTTATGTGTTACAGAGGGCTACACAGGTAACACCTATCTACTTCTATTGTTATTTGTTACAGAGAGCTACACAGGTAACACCTATCTACTTCTATTGTTATGTGTTACAGAGAGCTACACAGGTAACACCTATCTACTTCTATTGTTATTTGTTACAGAGGGCTACACAGGTAACACCTATCTACTTCTGAAGCTGCTACTGCCAGGAGTTGTGAAACGAGTATACAACCTGAACAACAAGCAACTTGTCAAATTATTTAGTCAGGTAAATGTTTTGGTGTTTAAAATCAGCAAATTTAAATACCTTTAGTTTTATGAAACCACTAAATATATGACCCATTTAACCTATCATGACCCATGTAACCTTTTAATATTTCAAAAAAGCAGTTTCTCTTTAGAGCATTTTGATCTGTAATCTTGGGATTTCCCTGTAAACTTAGCATGACACAAGTCATTTTTCATGATTCCTCCTAACTTAACGTTAATCACGTCAATGTAGTAGACACATTTATAAATTTGCATTGATATATTGTGGGGCACATGTCAACATGTAAGTTTACAGCATTGATATAATGTGGGTCACATTTCAACATGTAAGTTTACAGCATTGATGTAATGTGGGTCACATGTCAACATGTAAATTTACAGCATTGATATAATGTGGGTCGCATGTCAACATGTAAGTTTACAGCCTTTATATAATGTGGGTCACATGTCAACATGTAAGTGTACAGCATTGATATAATGTGGGTCGCATGTCAACATGTAAGTTTACAGCAATGATATAATGTGGGTCACATGTCAACATGTAAATTTACAGCATTGATATAATGTGGGTCACATTTCAACATGTAAGTTTACAGCATTGATGTAATGTGGGTCACATGTCAACATGTAAATTTACAGCATTGATATAATGTGGGTCACATTTCAACATGTAAGTTTACATCATTGATATAATGTGGGTCACATTTCAACATGTAAGTTTACAGCATTTATATAATGTGGGTCACATGTCGACATGTAAGTTTACAGCATTGATGTAATGTGGGTCACATGTCAACATTTAAGTTTACAGCATTGATATAATGCGGGTCACATGTCAACATGTAAGTGTACAGCATTGATATAATGTGGGTGACATGTCAACATGTAAGTTTACATTATTGATATAATGTGGGTCACATGTAAACATGTAAGTGTACAGCATTGATATAATGTGGGTATGAAAGTTTACAGCATTGATATAATGTGGGTCACATTTCAACATGTAAGTTTACATCATTGATATAATGTGGGTCACATTTCAACATGTAAGTTTACATCATTGATATAATGTGGGTCACATCTCAACATGTAAGTTTACAGCATTAATATAATGTGGGTCACATGTCAAAATGTAAGTTTACAGCATTGATATAGTGTGGATCACATGTCAACATGTAAGATTACAGTATTGATATAATGTGGGTCACATGTAAACATGTAAGTGTACAGCATTGATATAATGTGGGTCACATCTCAACATGTAAGTTTACAGCATTAATATAATGTGGGTCACATGTCAACATGTAAATTTACAGCATTGATATAATGTGGGAATGTAAGTTTACAGCATTAATATAATGTGGGTCACATGTCAACATGTAAATTTACAGCATTGATATAATGTGGGAATGTAAGTTTACAGCATTAATATAATGTGGGTCACATGTCAACATGTAAATTTACAGCATTGATATAATGTGGGTCGCATGTCAACATGTAAGTTTACAGTATTTATATAATGTGGGTCACATGTCAACATGTAAGTGTACAGCATTGATATAATGTGGTTCACACGTCAACATGTAAGTTTACAGCATTAATATAATGTGGGTCACATGTCAACATGTAAATTTACAGCATTGATATAATGTGGGTCACATGTCAACATGTAAGTTTACAAATGTAAATTAGGTTTCATAATATCAGAACAATGTTTATGTGATAACATATTTCAAATGTTCACTTTAATTGAAAACTGTCACCTATCATCAGAATTCTATTATGTGTTTTAGATCTTTGGAACCAGTCTGCAGGCAATGGTGGCTGATCTTGATCAGGTACATAACTGTTATAATCTGACAATCTATTTTCTCAATGTAAAAATATATGGATGTATTCAAGTTTCAATTGTGGTTTAAAAATTTCAATTCCAGAATGTTCCAATCTTACCAAAATCTATAGGAAGATTCTTAAAAATAAGGACTTTTGAAAGTGCTCTCTCCGAAGCATGTACAATTATCCATCTTCCCAGTGTTAAAATTCCATTTGAAACCACTTTTTGTGACGATAAACATTTTCAGAAGAATTAAATATATATATATGTCAAATTGTATTTTCTTTTGTAGGGAGATGTTGCCGAGACGGTGAAGATATTTTTTGAACAGAGTAAAAGTTTGATGCCCGCAAAGAAAAGTGCACTGACATTACAACAGGTACGGTCTTTGTGACTACCCTTCAAGTCTTAGTTAGGTATACCAGTAGATGTATGTTAGAATTTTATGTTTCCTTGTTATATTTAAGGCTAATGTTTATACAGTAAGAAACGTGAAATTTGCTTCCTGGAATGTTGACCAAAAAAAAAAAGTTTTCTGGATATAAATAGGTGATGCACAATATATTGTCCTATTCCAAGAAAGCAGTCATTCCCCAAAAAATGCAGTAAAAAAGTGAAGTAGACAATTTCAGAAAAAAACAGGAGGCAACATATTGCCAGGTGATAGGATATTTAAGTTGATGCATATCAATGCAAAATAAAACAGTTTTATGACATTAAACCACTGCTTTGTTTCAGGTGGACTATTTACTCGAGGAACTCTCGCTTGTAACAAAGGAAGATGACCAGCAGAGGATTCTCACAAAAATAGCAAAACGGTAAATATTAACCAGATACGGAATCATAGAAATCAACAAAGTTAACCAGAGGACAAACATGTTCAGTTTCACAGCTAGTCGCATACTCTCAGGCAAATGAAAATTAATGGCTTTTACAAATGTACTATACTATACTATTTACATCAGAAATATTACACTTTTATTATCTTCAAATACATCAAAATACATGTACAAAAATGTATAAATTAAAAATGAAGTAGAAATTAAACAAAAACAACTTTAAATCAGTTGAATTTGGAAGTTTTGGCTAAAATATTAGAAATTAAATATTGATAGGGATCTCCTAGATTTCCATTCGTTCAACTTTATAATATAATAATAGGCTACAAAAGTTAAATATGCACAAAAATAGGTAAAACTTAGGCTTTATTCATAAAATTAATCACTAAGCAATTTAAAAACACTTTCCATAGAAATAATACCAAATATATAAGTATTTTAACAAAATAGCTTTAATATATAATATTTTCAAACATAACCAACAATTAAAAAATGAATTGATACTTGATGGTATATTTGGCGCCACAGTGTACACATATAAAAAACCGAGTAACTATATTAAAAAGAATGACTTTTATATGCGATAAACAATGTGTCAATCTGACTTGTACTTGTTTACAGGAATTAAAACCAGGTAGGCCAATTTTAAGTAAGAGATACATGCTACTGAATTCTGTTTTCATGTCTTTTTGTAGATGTACACTAAACGACCTGAAGATGGTCATACGGCTGGTAAAACATGACTTGAGGATCAACGCTGGAGCTAAACACATGTAAGTCTTAATGAGAAAAAGGGTAAAATATGACCTGAGGATCAACGCTGGAGCTAAACACATGTAAGTCTTAATGAGAAAAAAGGTAAAATATGACTTGAGGATCAACGCTGGAGCTAAACACATGTAAAGTCTTAATGAGAAAAAAATCATACAAAATTCTGCTGTAGTTTATATAGTTTTCTTATGTGACTTTGCTAATATTTATGTCATGTGAATATACGTTTGCTGTAACCTGAAGGGTTTAGACACTTAGTGTGCTGTAAACAAGACGGTAGAGGGGCTATATGTCCAGTGTAGATAGGAGGGTTTAGATACCATGGTGTAGACAGGAGGGTTTAGATACCATGTTGTAGACAGGAGGGTTTAGATACCGTGGTGTAGATAGGAGGGTTTAGATACCATGTTGTAGACAGGAGGGTTTAGATACCATGTTGTAGACAGGAGGTTTTAAATGCTAAGTCTGTTATACACCAATCTGATTAAAATCATATCCTACGTTCTCTACGTATCACGATGCGTAGAGAACGTAGGATATGATTTTAATCAGATTGGTTATACATCAGAGGGTTTAGACAAGGTATGTATGACGGAAACCAGAAGGATTAGGTGTTGTGTCTCTGTTGTAGTCTTGAAGGTTTAGACCCCAATGCCTACGCAGCGTTCCAGGCCTCGAGGGATCTCCAGGATGTTGTTGACCGGGTCCGCCAAAACTTAGAGGAGGGAGGTGGTAAACCTGGGATGGCCAAGAAACTGAGTGTCAGGGCTAATCTCATGACTCCAGTTCTACCGATGCTTGTATGTATACCATGGCATAGAACATGAACATATTACCGTGAACATTGATGTGTTAACTCGAGAAAAGTACTCTCATTACTGAATGACATAAAAACTGGACTATTCTGTGGTGTAAGAATTGGTGTTAATTTTTCAAGTGTTTTGAAGATAACTGACCTTTACCGCAGTGTGGTTTGACAGAGAACAAATGTTTCATTTACAAGTGAGTAATTCAGGCTGTTAAACCTCTTTTTAGCTCACCTGGTCCGAAGGACCATGGTGAGCTTATGCCATACCGCAGCTTCCGTCGTCCGTCGTCTGTCCGTCAACTTTTCCTTTAAACCGCTACTAGTCATGAACGACTGAGCAGATTTTGACCAAATTTAGTCAGAAGCATCCTTTGGGGAAGGGGAACAAATTTTGTATAAATGGTGGGTCTGGCCCCCCTGGGGGCTGAGGGACGGGGCCCAATAGGGGAAATATAGGAAATTCTTTAAAATCCTTCTTCTTCTGTAGGAATGAAAGGATTTGTTTCATATTTGGTCTGAAGCATCCTTGGGAAAAGGGGTACAAATTTTGTATAAACCGTGGGTCTGGCCCCCCTTGGGGCTGAGGGGCAGGGCCCTTTAGGGTGAATATAGCAAATTCTTTAAAATCCTTCTTCTGTAGGAATGAAAGGATTTGTTCCATATTTGGTCTGAGGCATCCTTGGGTGAAGGGGAACCAATTTTGAATAAATCGTGGGTGTGGCCCCTAGGGGCCTGAGAGTCCCGGCCAAATAGGGGAAACATAGCAAATTATTCCTTAAAATCCTTCTTCTTCTGTAGGAATGAAAGGATTTGGTCCATATTTGGTGTGGAGCATCCTTGGGGAAAGGGGAACCAATTTTGTATAAACCGTGGGCCTGGCCCCCCAGGGGCCTGAGAGGCGGGGCCCAATAGGGGAAACATAGCAGATTATTCTCTAAAATCCTTCTTCTGTAGGAATTGGTCCATATTTGGTGTGGAGCATCCTTGGTAAAGGGGAACCAATTTTGTATAAACGGTGGGTGTGGCCCCTCTGGGACCTGAGGGGTGGGGCCCAATAGGGGAAATATAGGTAAAAACTTTATAATCCCAATTCTACCATAGGGATTAAGGGATATTTTCCTTATTTAGTCAGGAACATCCTTAGGCAAAAGGGACTCAATTTCATATAAACAGCGATTGTGGCCCCCTGTGGGCAGAATGGAGGGGCCCAATAGGGGAAACATAGCAAATTCTTCAAAATCCTTCTTCTTCTGTAGGAATGACAGGATTTTGTCCAAATTTGGTATGAAGCAGTTTTGGGTAAAGGGGAAACAATTTTGTATAAGCAGTGGGTGTGGTCTCCCAGGGGGCAGAAGGGCGGGGTCTCAATTGGAGAAATAGAGGTAAAACCTTTAAAACCCTACTTCGACCATCGGGATTATGGGATTTTATCCTTATTTAGTCTGGAGCATCAATGGACCAAGGGGACTCAATTTTGTATAATTGGTGGGTATGACCCCCACCCCACCCCCACTCCCACCCCACCCCCCTAGGTTGCATAGGGGTGGGGCTCTGTTTGAAGTTTGTGTTCGCTATATCTCAAGTACTGGATGGATCTTTCTGAAATTTCATATGTATATTTTAAACATATTCAGGTGAGCGATACAGGCCCTCTGGGCCTCTTGTTATATACTGATTTGGCATGAAATATAAACCAAACTTATACCTGAGTGAATTGGAATATCTTATTTACATTATGGTGTGTGCGTTTTAGGCTGAAGCGTGTAGATCTGTTGAGTTTGCCATGAAGAGATGTCCCAAAGGTTTCTATGCAGAGATTAAGTATGACGGTGAAAGGGTACAGCTACACAAGAAAGGACCAAAGTTCTCTTACTTCAGCCGGAGTCTTAAACCTGTACAACCACATAAGGTCAGTTACTTATCACAGCCGGAGTCTTAAACCTGTACAACCACATAAGGTCAGTAACTTATCACATCCCGAGTCTTAAACCTGTACAACCACATAAGGTCAGTTACTTATCACAGCCAGAGTCTTAAACCTGTACAACCACATAAGGTCAGTTACTAACACAGCCGGAGTCTTAATCCTGTACAACCACATAAGGTCAGTAACTTATCACAGCCGGAGTCTTAAACCTGTACAACCACATAAGGTCAGTTACTTATCAGAGCCAGAGTCTTAAACCTGTACAACCACACAAGGTCAGTAACTTATCACAGCAGGATTTAAATGTATACAACCCCCTACTCTAATGTAATAAGAATATGTTTATAAACAAAGTTTTGGAAATGATATGACTGATTCAGGGTTATGAATTCTTACTGATTGTATCTATAAATCGTTGATTTCAGGTGGAGCACTTTAAGGAATACATTCCGAAGGCTTTCCCTTCGGCGGACGACCTCATTCTGGACGCAGAGGTGTTACTAGTGGATACAAACACAGGAAAGCCCCTCCCCTTTGGTACACTAGGAGTCCACAAGGTATGTCACTGTATAAGTACAGAGAATTAGTTCCTGATCACAAGGGAGACATCTATGTCTCATTTGTTATCATCTGATTTGGGTAAATTTGTATCTTATTCTCTGAGACAAAACAGGGTAAATTTGCGTCTAATTGCCCCCTCTCCCAACTACACATGGGTAAATCTGTCTTATGGGCCCTGAATAAACAGGAAACACTTGGCGATATCTGTATCTCATTGGTCTCCAACCACACTTTTCCTATTTCAAAACCAAAAATATTTCACAGAATTTATGTAATTTAGACCATACAAATTTACTTACTGGTTTGTCAGATAGATTTCAGCAACAATGTTTATGTATATTGTGTTATTTTTTCACAGAAAGCTCAGTTCAATGATGCCAAAGTGTGCTTGTTTGTGTTTGACTGTCTTCACATTAACGGGGAGAACATCATGGACAAGTAAGTCTTTACATTAACAAGAGGGAGAGTATTATGATCAAATCTGATTGCTCATTGTTTGGGTCCTATTAATAATTATGTCATTCTTTGTAATGAAGGATATTGATATACCCCGTTCATGGAAGGCAAAATACAAATGTATAATACATTTGATGGGTTGTAAGTGTTTGGAGACTAAGGCTGCATTATGCATTAAACATCTATTGGTCGAGTTTTCTGTTGCCTTTCATTAGGTGATGACTTTTTCAAAAGGAAAATTCAAAATCCTGCAATTTCAGGTGATTTATAGTTAAAAGAATCTTGGATGTAGAACTGTCAGTTTAAATTTTTAGTTGTTGGGGTAATAACATTTCAGGTTAGATTTGGTGGAGGACTAACAGAATTTCAACCAAGGTATTGGCCTGTTACTCCTCAACCAAACTGACATTTACATGGTCAATTTGGTAACAGCCATTGTTTAAAGCTATTGTTGAGGAGCAACATTATTTTCTTCACAGAATGGTCAGTTGGCTGTTCGATTGATGGGTATTACAGGATTTCTGCCATGTATAGCTGTGAGTTTGGTTGAGGAGTAACAGGAGTTTAGCTATAGAATGACCAGTTGGTTGAGGAACAAATGGAAATAAGCCCAGAAATGGACAGTTTGGTTCTGTAGTGATATTCTTTTAGCCATAGAAATGTCAGATTTCAGCAATGAACTAGGCTACCTGGGGTAGTTTGGTTGACGATTGATAGGATTAAAGCTATGAATTGTTGATGTTTCAGTTGACCTCAAATGATAACGACCATCCTAAACCCAAACATTTAGAATTAACTACATTCATACATGTTTGGTGTTATTTACACTAGACTTAAATACCTATGACCTTTATATTATCAATAGACAACAATCATTATGTGGTATTTGTATTTGAGACAATATTCTATGGATTTACAGGCCAGTAAAGACTAGAAGAAGAATCCTGCATGAAAATATGACGGAGATTGAACATCGTATCATGTTCTCAGAGATGCAGCATATCAGGGTACCTATTCCCTTAAACTAAGTACAACTAAAAGTTTTCAGAGGAATGTCAGAAGTTAAAACATGTTCCACTGTTTGATATAAATGACTAATAATGATTTATGCATTGAATCCAGTCTTTACTGATATCAAGAGGGACTGAACCCTATGTTGTCTGCAATAATAGTTAGCATACTTGGAGCTATCACAAATAATTGATAAACAATAGAGAGATTGAAGATAGAAAAAGCCAGTGTAACACATGTTTGTAACTGAAATTGTAAAAAGAATCATTGTGGAAAATGGCTGCACTTGCCGTATATATACTATTTTTTGACTTATTGTGAAATGCTAAGATAGCTTTATCCTGTTTAGAACTGTATTGATTATTGACCTGGTACATAACGCCGGATTCTGATGCTGAGGTTTGTTGTACAGGAGCCAGATGACCTACAGGACTTGATGAACGATGTGTTTAGACAGGGGTTGGAGGGACTTGTTCTCAAGGACATTAATGTGAGTGGTCTCCCCTTGTACCATAATAAAGCGAATGCCTGTGATTGATTTGTTGTATGGCAGACTTAAAATCCAAGCATGAGTAACAGGAATTTGAGATCACTGGAGAACAAATATCGTAAAACCATCTTTGTAGGTTGTCTCAATTTCAACACTGACGAGAAAATAACAATAAGTGATCACAGTATTTCCTGTTTTCAAGTCTAACAGCTACATTTGTATTATGAAATATTTTGTCATGGAAAACATGAAGATCTAGGGCCATATATAATTTAAGTTTTAAGTTATTCTATTGGAAAAATGTTTCAAAAGTATTGGACAATAATTTATTTAACGTAATAGTTTTAGTGCATTATGGACCGCTGTCCGATCAATTAAGGATAATTTGATGATCTAATAAATGATATTGGATGTTATGATCTTGCCAAAGATCTGGATATCTGTCTTTATGTGTGTAGGGGATCTATAGTGTATACCAGTAAATGTGTGTAGAGTATTTATAGTGTAAATATGTGTGTAGGGGATCTATAGTGTATACCAGTAAATGTGTGTGGAGTATTTATAGTGTATATATTTGTGTAGGGGATCTATAGTGTATACCAGTAAATGTGTGTGGAGTATTTATAGTGTATATATTTGTGTAGGGGATCTATGAGCCAGGGAAGAGACATTGGTTGAAGATAAAGAAGGACTACCTGGAACAGGGCACAATGGCTGACTCTGCTGACCTGGTGGTATTAGGGGCCTACTTTGGATCGGGAAACAAAGGTAAAACACATGTTCTGGAGGTTTTCTTTGATCAGGGAAAAAGGGCCTGTTGAAATTTTATGTCTAGTTAGGATGAATACAATTTTCATATTTACTAAGCTAGACACTAGCATACTAACTTTTTTATAAGATTTCAATAAGTTAGAGTTGTGTGATCAAAAATTGGATAGGGAATTTTTCAACAAACTTGATCCCAGCATGCTACAGGCCAAATACCATAACCCTTTGCCTCATGTTTTTCATGAGAAGTCCTTCAAAACTTTTTATCCTTTGGACTCCTGTAACCTTGAAAATTGATCAAGGTAATTCATTAAAAAAAAAAGTTAAACCTACCTCCGAGCATACTCCTTGCCAAGAATCATTATTGTAGGCCTCATAATTATTCAAAAGTTGTAGGTGAAGGAAAAAGGTTGATGCTGGACGGACGCTACACCATTACATCAGGCCACTGGCACTTCGTGTCAGGTTAGCTGACTAAAGTTAGAGTCATCACACATTTAATATGTTCTCTGTATCGTCTTTGTTAAAGGTGGGATCATGTCAGTTTTCCTGTTTGGAGTTCATGACCCTGATACTGACCAGTGGTGTACAGTCACCAAGTGTCACAGCGGACTGGACGACAAGACCCTGGACGAACTCCAGACTAAGATGGATATGATCAAAATAAGTAAGGATGCAAGTAAGATTCCTGACTGGTTGAACATAAAAAAGCAAGTGATTCCTGACTTTGTGATCCGTAACCCAAAGAAGGCACCAGTATGGGAGATAGCTGGAGCCGAGTTTACTCAGGCCGAGATCCATACTGCAGATGGCATCAGCATTCGGTTTCCCCGTATCACTAAGTTTCGTGACGATAAAAGCTGGAAGGAGGCTACGAATCTCCCAAGGCTAAAGGTAAACATGGTTTAAGACACAACTCTGAGTCTACTAACAGGTCAGCTTTTACCAATTAAAGAATCAAAAAGATGTCCTAACAGAAAGTTAAATTCTGAAGAATAAAAGAGTCACTGGAAAATATTGCTTTATATAATGCTCCTCACTCTTGGGAATAGCTTTATATAACAGGTTTGATCAGTAACCTTGTATTGTGATAAAACCTCTCATGACAACATTCTCTTGACTACTGTGTTTATAGGAACTGTTTAAGAAATCCAAGGAGACAACAGACCTGTTTCCCAGCCCTAAAAAAGGCAAGACTGCTGTCAAACGGAAAGGGAGCCAGGACAGTAATGATGACAACAGCAATGGTAATAGTAATGGCCACTCAGAACACAGGGGGTCAGCACCTTCTACACCCTCCAAAGGTCGGGGGTCGTCACCTGTAACCCCCTCCAAGACCACGCCCAGTAAGATGGGGAGTCTGACAGGCTGGGTCAAAAGGGGTGAAAAAAGGTCAAGGTCAGAAGATAGTGATGAAGCCTCATCACCAAAGAAAAAAGTATCGCAAAGTTCTCCTTCAAAGAAAATGGATGAGGAATCGCCAAGGAAGAAGGTAAGATAGAGTACACTCAGTTGGGATTTGATGTCAGCTAATCTAATAAGCTGAAACATAGAAATTACAAATAAGAACTTGTATGTATCTAAATTTAAAACCTCAAATTGAATTTTCAAATCATTATTTTAAATTATGAATGTTACTTTTGAAAATATTTATTCATTGTTTCAATTATGCTTGCTATTGTAACATGTCAAAGAGATTCAAATTTTGGCATTTTTTTGGGGACAAAATTCCATGGAATCTCCAGCATATGGAATATTTGATTAATTTACATTGTATATCTCTTAGTAAGACATATTCAGATAATCTATTTGCAAACTTCTTTTCCAGTCCTCTAATAAACCTGTGTGTAAATATGGAAGTGACTGTTACCAAACTAACCCTGCCCACATAGAGCAGTTTTACCACCCAACAGACAACAAGCTACCCAAACCAGGGGAGGTAAGTGTGTAGGCTTCCAAACCAGGGGAGGTAAGTGTGTAGGCTTCCAAACCAGGGGAGGTAAGTGTGTAGGCTTCCAAACCAGGGGAGGTAAGTGTGTAGGCTTCCAAACCAGACCAGAGGAGGTAAGTGTGTAGGCTTCCAAACCAGGGGAGGTAAGTGTGTAGGCTTCCAAACCAGACCAGAGGAGGGAAGTGGGTAGGCTTCCAAACCAGGGGAGGGGAGTGTGTAGGCTTCCAACAACAGGGAGGGTAAGTGTGTAGGCTTCCTACAACAGGGAGGGTAAGTGTATAGGCTTCCAAAAACAGGGAGGGTAAGTGTGTAGGCTTCTAAAAACAGGGAGGGTAAGTGTGTATGCTTCCAAACACAGGGAGGGTAAGTGTGTAGGCTTCCAGCAAAAGGGAGGGTAAATGTGTAGGCTTCTAACAACAAGGAGGGTAAGTGTGTAGGCTTCCAACAAAAGGGAGGGTAAGTGTGTAGGCTTCCAAACACAGAGATGGTACGTTTTTAGGCTTCCAAAATCAGGGAGGGTAAGTGTGTAGGCTTCCAAAATCAGGGGATGTAAGTGTGTAGGTAACCAAAACCAGGGGTGGTAAGTGTTAGGTGCTTACGTGTGTTATTTATTTTGTCCTGTTCCGTGTTATACGGAACAGAATAATGTTTAATGTGTAATTAATGTAAGTGTGTAGGCTACCCTACATTAGTCCACTGTAAACTATCACAGGCCACTACTCGTTTTATGTACTTGGGTGACCTCTGTTCACCTCTTTGCTGTGGATTCCCCAGGTCACCTCCTTATGTTCTGTAGCTGCTTTATGGAACCTCACCTCTCTGCAGACTATGTTAAGCTACCCAGTGACCTAAGGCAGCCAAGCTTCTATAGCTTGTTCTGGTAGTTTAACATATGAAACCCTACAAAAGGAAGTAAAGTCCAGGTTCTTTTCCTTAACATTTAATTTCTTGAAGAAGCTAAGTTGTTACTGCATATGGGCCATGTGCTTATTGATTTGAGATGTTCATTAGTACAATGACAACAGATTGGTCAGTCACCCAGACCATGTCGGAACAGGTGATAGTTATTCGAACTGTAGAAGGGCGAGGAATAGTGATAAAGATAGTGCCCTCGCTGGGGCTTGAACCTGTGACCCTTGGCTCTCCAGCCCAATGCTCTACCGCTGAGCTAAAGGGAAATTCCCACAAGGGGATCTATTTCAATCACTATTCCTCATCCTACTACAAACTGGTGCTGTTGACCCTCCCTGTTCAAGGCAGGAGAAACCTTGGCAGGGAGTCTAAGAACCTGGGTTGGAGTATGATAAAAAGGGGTGAATAGTGTAAAAAATGTGCATTGATTAGGTTGCCTTACAAGCATCAGCCCTTAAGCTCAGCGGTAGAGCATCGGGCTGGAAAGCCAAGGGTTGCTGGTTCGAGCTCCAGTGAGGACACTATCTTTATCACTATTCCTCGTCCTACTACAAAACTAGTGGCCATGACTTAAGTCAAACCAACAGGTAGTACGGTACCAATAGTAACTGGTCTTAACCTAGTATACCAGTCATTGTTTATGATACACTAAAACATGTTGTAGTCAGTATACCAGTCGTTGTTTATAATACATTAAAACATGTTGTAGTCTGTATACCAGTCGTTGTTTATAATACATTAAAACTTGTTGTAGTCAGTATACCAGTCGTTGTTTATAATACACTAAAACATGTTGTAGTCAGTATACCAGTCGTTGTTTATAATACATTAAAACTTGTTGTAGTCAGTATACCAGTCGTTGTTTATAATACATTAAAACTTGTTGTAGTCAGTATACCAGTCGTTGTTTATAATACATTAAAACTTGTTGTAGTCAGTATACCAGTCGTTGTTTATAATACATTAAAACTTGTTGTAGTCAGTATACCAGTCGTTGTTTATAATACATTAAAACTTGTTGTAGTCAGTATACCAGTCGTTGTTTATAATACATTAAAACTTGTTGTAGTCAGTATACCAGTCGTTGTTTATAATACATTAAAACTTGTTGTAGTCAGTATACCAGTCGTTGTTTATAATACATTAAAACTTGTTGTAGTCAGTATACCAGTCGTTGTTTATAATACATTAAAACTTGTTGTAGTCAGTATACCAGTCGTTGTTTATAATACATTAAAACTTGTTGTAGTCAGTATACCAGTCGTTGTTTATAATACATTAAAACTTGTTGTAGTCAGTATACCAGTCGTTGTTTATAATACATTAAAACTTGTTGTAGTCAGTATACCAGTCGTTGTTTATAATACATTAAAACTTGTTGTAGTCAGTATACCAGTCGTTGTTTATAATACATTAAAACTTGTTGTAGTCAGTATACCAGTCGTTGTTTATAATACATTAAAACTTGTTGTAGTCAGTATACCAGTCGTTGTTTATAATACATTAAAACTTGTTGTAGTCAGTATACCAGTCGTTGTTTATAATACATTAAAACTTGTTGTAGTCAGTATACCAGTCGTTGTTTATAATACATTAAAACTTGTTGTAGTCAGTATACCAGTCGTTGTTTATAATACATTAAAACTTGTTGTAGTCAGTATACCAGTCGTTGTTTATAATACATTAAAACTTGTTGTAGTCAGTATACCAGTCGTTGTTTATAATACATTAAAACTTGTTGTAGTCAGTATACCAGTCGTTGTTTATAATACATTAAAACTTGTTGTAGTCAGTATACCAGTCGTTGTTTATAATACATTAAAACTTGTTGTAGTCAGTATACCAGTCGTTGTTTATAATACATTAAAACTTGTTGTAGTCAGTATACCAGTCGTTGTTTATAATACATTAAAACTTGTTGTAGTCAGTATACCAGTCGTTGTTTATAATACATTAAAACTTGTTGTAGTCAGTATACCAGTCGTTGTTTATAATACATTAAAACTTGTTGTAGTCAGTATACCAGTCGTTGTTTATAATACATTAAAACTTGTTGTAGTCAGTATACCAGTCGTTGTTTATAATACATTAAAACTTGTTGTAGTCAGTATACCAGTCGTTGTTTATAATACATTAAAACTTGTTGTAGTCAGTATACCAGTCGTTGTTTATAATACATTAAAACTTGTTGTAGTCAGTATACCAGTCGTTGTTTATAATACATTAAAACTTGTTGTAGTCAGTATACCAGTCGTTGTTTATAATACATTAAAACTTGTTGTAGTCAGTATACCAGTCGTTGTTTATAATACATTAAACTTGTTGTAGTCAGTATACCAGTCGTTGTTTATAATACATTAAACTTGTTGTAGTCAGTATACCAGTCGTTGTTTATGATACATTATTACACCTCTACTTTATTTACTCTATATAAAAGTAATCGGTTAAATCAAATATATCCCCACTTTTGCCTGAGTGTGTTTTAGTCCTGTGTGTTAGTCTGGGAACTAAAACACACCTACACTCGGGTGTTTCCGCCGAGCCAATCCGGCGAAAGGTGGGCGGAGCTTGTTACCGAACTCGGAAGCGACGCGCGAAGTGGGCGGAACTTGCTACCGAACTCGGAAGCATTTGGCTCCATTGCCATCAAAGGGGTAGTTGGGACGTGAAGCTTTACAGCTTATGGTTTGCAAATATTTTCTAGTTAAAACTATCTCTCCAGTGTGTATCGGTATAATAAAACGGTTAAAGTATGGGGTTGAGGGATATACTAAGTTTCTGGTGTCCCTTGACCATGCCTATTTCCCTCGGCTTCGCCTCGGGAAATAGACCTGGTCTCGGGACACCATAAACTTGCTATATCCCTCAACCCCATACTTTAACTGTATATTAAAACTTGTTGTAGTCAGTATACCAGTCATTATTTATAATACATTAAAACTTGTTGTAGTCAGCAACATATATACAAGTGCAGTGTTTACTTATGAAGATCATTGTTTTCATAACATTTCAACATGATGCAGTCAAAGACTATATACAGTACAATGTTTATTTACTTGGGGTTCCAAGTATCTTGTTAACAATAGGATGTAGTGTCTACTCATACAATTATATTATTTAAACTAGTATCACATTATTACATGTGATGATTTGTCATTGCAGAAATTACCAAATGTGTTTTCTGGAACAAAAATATTCTTGCCTGAAGACACAGACAAATACAGGCTGCTGAAGCGATACATCATCGGGTAAGAATTGGATTGGAGGGTAGTTAAGCCAGTCTTAAGTCCTGGGACTCCTTAAACAAAAGGACAGGTTCTTATTTCTTTGAATCCAGTTTCTACAAATATTGATATTAAATCCTTTCGTGTCCTTAAATTCTACAAACTAATATGTTTCACTTGTAAAGGGAACCTATTGGATCAGGAAAAATGTATTCTATACTCGCCTCGAACAAACTTAATCATTAGCAAAAATGTACTCTGTACTCGCCTCAAACAAACTTAACCGTTAGCAAAAAGGTACTCTGTACTCGCCTCGAACAAACTTAATCGTTAGCAAAAATGTACTCTGTACTCGCCTCGAAAAAACTTAATCGTTAGCAAAAATGTACTCTGTACTCGCCTCGAACATACTTAATCTTTAGCAAAAATATACTCTGTACTCGCCTCGAACAAACTTAATCATTAGCAAAAATATAAATTTCTTTGTAACAAAAACATTGTTTATAACTAGAAACAATGATTCAATGATTGATATGGTCTTTTTTAAAAATGAATGTTTTCTTCCTTTACAGATTTGATGGAGATCTTGTGGACGACTTTCAGAAGAAAACAGCAACCCATGTTATTGTTAAACCAGGGGAGGTAAGTTAGTTATGACTTTTCAGGAAAATAATCACCACACAATCTGTAAGTTTGCAAATGTAATACAAACATTCACTCAGGTGGTTGAGGTTTTTTTCCCGATCCGATGGGGTTATAAATGTTACCAGTTGTTCATAGCTATATGTGAATCTGAGGTAATGGGAGTAATGAATGTTACTGGTTGTCTATAGTGACATGTAGACCTGAGGTAATAGAAGTAATAAATGTTACTAGTTGTCTGTAGTTATATTAAGTCCTGAGATGATATAAGTTATAAATGTTACTAGTTGTCTGTAGTTATTTTAAGTCCTGAGGTAATATAAGTAATAAATGTTACTAGTTGTCTGTAGTTATATTAAGTCCTGAGATAATATAAGTTATAAATGTTACTAGTTGTCTGTAGTTATTTTAAGTCCTGAGGTAATATAAGTTATAATGTTACCAGTTGTTAATAGTGACATGTAGACCTGAGATAATAGAAGTAACAAATGTTGCCAGTTGTTAATAGTGACATGTAGACCTGAGATAATAGAAGTTATAAATGTTACAAGTTGTTAATAGTGACATGTAGACCTGAGATAATATAAGCTATAAATGTTACCAGTTGTCTGTAGCTACATGTAGACCTGAGGTAATAGAAGTTATAAATGTTACAAGTTGTTAATAGTGACATGCAGACCTGAGGAAATATGTTATAAATGTTATCAGTTGTTAATAGCGACATGTAGACCTGAGGTAATATAAGATGTAGACCTGAGGTAATAGAAGATGTAGACCTGAGGTAATAGAAGATGTAGACCTGAGGTAATAGAAGATTAGACCTGAGGTAATAGAAGATGTAGACCTGAGGTAATAGAAGATGTAGACCTGAGGTAATAGAAGATGTAGACCTGAGGTAATAGAAGTAATAAATGTAACTGGCTGTCTAGTTACATGTACACCTGAGGTAATACAAGTTATAAATGTTACCAGTTGGCTGTAGTTACATTTACTCTTACATTTACACAATTTGTAAATGCGACCCAGTCGTCTATAGCTACATGTAATAATCTTACCTTGTACTTCTAGGTGGTGTCGACCACAGGTGTATGTGTCACGGTGGAGTGGCTGTGGAGCAGCATCAAAAAGAAGGTGAAGGTGCCCCTGCAGAATTTCCGTGTCACATGATCAAGTTCTTATGTGATCAATTGTTTGTGAGACGTGATATGATAAAGTTTTAATATTGACTGGGCATCCACAGAATGATATTGCAAACAGTGAACACGAATCATTCTCAGATTAAGACATTTTATCCTGGATGTAAATCCTGACTTTGTACGAACATCCTGTACACGTAGGAAACTTCCTTTTGTATTAACCAGTTTGTATATGAATGTGAACAGATACTAGATTTGTTCATACCTTACTTAAACCCGGGTACCCTACGACTGTTACCGTAGTCGTAGCGTTATTCTGGAGCTGTGTGTATAATGTATGGGAGATGATGATAAGTATGGGATGTGCTACTCAGAGAAAATTGAAGTGTTATGGAAGTAATTGTTTAAGGGTTATTACAGTACCTATACTGACAGATTACCCTTTTACTAGATGGTTTTGCTAACTCAGGGAAAACAATTCTATGTTGTAACTTAATATCATGTATAAAGATGAAAAAACAAATTCAAGTCACAACCAATTTTTAATATACTTTTAGTTAAACATTATTTTTTGGCAACAAGCTGATTTTTTATTTTTGATGCACGCTTTATTGATCATAGACATGAATATATATAAGATGTTGTGTCTGGAAAGTCAATATTTCAACTATTACAGCTTACGGTAATTTAATTTATACATATATGATCATTGTCATTAATACATTATACACTTATTTGTGTGAAAATCTGTGTGACTACCCATGATTTGTGATGAATTTGGAATTTGAGGTTTTGCATGCAAACATGTGTACTTTTACATAATTTATGGTCATTAGTGATTACAAGAATCATTTTGTGTCTGGCAGCTATGAAATGAACCGGTTGATAATCAAATCACTAAATAGGAAAGTTACCTGCTCATTGCCATTGTAAAATCATTTTACATTTTATTATCAAACAACTTGACAGCCATTTTACTAAGATGGTTCACAAGTTATTTGATAAACGTCATAATGATAGCTGTATTGTTTCCTCTTTGAAGCTTCATACAAACGTCTGCAGGTTTAACCTTACATCGGCTACTCTAGGCGCAGTTCATACTGTTGTACAAAATGTATTCATTTGGTTCTGCACATGCAAGAACATGTCTTTGCATGCAGGTATCGTTTAGAAATATTGTCATAGTAAAAGGACTCAATTTAAAAGAAAAAATGGTTGTGAGAATGTTATCAAACTTTACATGGGTCACACACATTTCAGATATTTAGCAAACCAACCATCAATTAAACAACTTGTTTATGGTAATTTTTTAATGTATTTGTTAGAATGATAAAACACCTAGCAGATACATAAAAATAAGCTTTGAAAAATATTGCAATTTCATTTCTGTATTGCAATACAAAACAATATGCCTGTGTAAAGTGATATGTATTGTGACAGACTTTATACATAAAGACCAGGTTTGGTGGCCTGTGTAAAGTGATATACATAGAGACCAGGTTTGGTGGCCTGTGTAAAGTGATATGTAATGTGACAGACTTTATACATAAAGATCAGGTTTGGTGGCCTGTGTAAAGTGATATGTATTGTGACAGACTTTATACATAAAGTCCAGGTTTGTTGGCCTGTGTAAAGTGATATGTATTGTGCCAGGCTTTATACATAAAGACCAGGTTTGGTGGTCTGTGTAAAGTGATATGTATTGTGACAGCCTTTATACATAAAGACCAGGTTTGGTGGCCTGTGTAGGGGGATATGTATTGTGACAGACTTTATACATAACGACCAGGGTTGGTGGCCTGTGTAAAGTGATATGTATTGTGGCAGACTTTATACATAAAGTCCAGGTTTGGTGGCCTGTGTAAAGTAATATGTATTGAGACAGACTTTATACATAAAGTCCAGGTTTGGTGGCCTGTGTAAAGTGATATGTATTGTGACAGACTTTATACATAAAGTCCAGGTTTGGTCATATACTTGTAAGCAGAACACCCGATAGTTGATAGTGAAGATGAAAGTAAAACGTAATTTTCATATGTAATGACTCAACAATCCACTCACACCTAATCCTGTATGTAGCCAGTAGGGAACATGTTGGACCTTTTCTATATTCACAATCCAGCCACTTTACTTATAGTTAACTTGTAGTTTTATTGTTATTGAACAGGAACTTTATATTCCTTGCACCAGACTCGGTGTTAGATTCTAGAATAGGGGAGATAAGAGCTTTCATCCCTGGTTGTTGCTTTAATAGTTGCCAACTTCTTATTGAGAATAAAGGTGGCTTGATATCGGAAAATAAACTGTACAGATTAGAAAATGAATGATAGACATTTTTAATTTTTGATACCTTTCTTGTCCCATGTGTATGCAGTACCTTGTTATAGTCATAGGGTACATTCGCCGAAACGGTTGAAACGGTTGAACCAGTTGAACCTGTAAAGAAAACGACAGGCACAGATCTGGACCGAGGCTGACCTTAGGAAAATTTGGCACGTGTAGATTGAGGGGTCCAGACGTACCTGACTGAAACTAAAATGCTGACTATTGGTAGTTTGCATTATTTCTTTCTAAACAATGTCAAGTCACATGTAGTTTTTAAGATACGTTATGTAATTCAGTGGACGCATGAAAGAAGGGCATAATATTCTTGATACATTGTTTATTATTCTCCGAAACTGCATTTTTAGCTCTGCTTATAGAACGGTCCAAGTGCGTTCGTTTATCGTGGAATATTTCTGCGCCACACGTACCGTTTCAACCACAGGATACGCGAATGTAGCCTTACTCCGTTACCGTTTTGTTAATCAACTGTGTATACTGTATTGTTTTTCCTTCTCTCTGTATTTGTTGAAAACCTGTTTACTGAGGCAATAATGTAGCAATTTGTCAAATATTTTAGCAAACATTTCCGTCAATCATGATTACGCTAAACCCTCTAGCTTTGATTAGATTTGTCTCCCCTTATGAACGAGTAGTGTGTTAAGCTAACTAATGTGCATGATTTAGGATGTTACATAATTAGTATCTTTAGGGCAAGTAGTCTTTTGACAACTTATTAATTCTGAATGCACAAGTTATACCTTATTGATGTGTCGTGTTACAATAAATGACTGAATTTAATCATGTATTGGTCTATTATCATTTCAAGTCTTCTAGGAAAACATGCAATAAAGAGTAATTAAGGTCTCTGTACAGGCAATATCCAACAGAACCAGTGTTAACAGACCATGTCTTAGCAGCAGCAAACACAGGGTTGACCAATCATCAGCTTTTAACAGCAAACAGACTGTTGACGGGCTATCTCCCAGTAAATTGTTGAGTGTACATACATTTGGATGAAAAACACTTGCCATTGGGCATGTTTTAGTTGTTTATACAGTAGATATTTTTTGGTTTGTTTCTATTTTCTTATTTTCAAACACCTTGTATTACTCTTGATGTGTACGAATCATCACAGCCACATGCTTGCTTTCATGACGATATTAAACACAGTGTAATGAACAAACAAGGTATAGACAGTTTACATTGCTAAAGGTCTATCTCAAAGAAATATGATTCAGGTGAAAATCTACTTATTGATTTCTCTGCCAAGGCCACCTCCCAGTCACAACAGTCACACTTGACTGATTTCTCTACCAAGGCCACCTCACAGTCACACTTGACCGATTTTTCTGCCCAGGCCACCTCCCAGTAGCAACAGACACACTTGACTGATTTCTCTGCCCAGTAACAACACAGACACAATTGACTGATTTCACCGCCCAGGACACCTCCCAGACATACTTGACTGATTTCTCTGCCCAGGTCACCTCCCAGTTACAACAGACACACTTGACTAACTTCTCTGCCCAGGTCACCTCCCAGTAACAACACAGACACACTTGACTGATTTCTCTGCCCAGGCCACCTCCCAGTCAAAACACAAACACACTTTTGACTTTTTTTTCTGCCCAGGCCACCTCCCAGTAACAACACTGACACACTTGACTGATTTCTCTGCCCAGTCCACCTTCCAGTTATAACACAGACACACGTTACTGATTTCTCTCCCCAGGTCACAACACGGACACACGTAACTGATTTCTCTGCCCGTTTCCTGAGCAGATAAGATTTATTAATGTCTAATAACACACAACAAGGACACACTTGACTGATTTCTCTGCCCGTTTCCTGAGCAGATAAGATTTATTCATATAGTCTAATAACAAACAGTGATGCTGACTGCCGTTTCACCACGGTTGTCCAGGTAACAATTGATGGTAACTTTCTCACCCCCATGTCTCTGACTGATCTGGTCCAGCCTTAACATAAAGGTCACATTACAATGTATCTCTATCCCTAAAGGTCACATTACAATGTATCTCTATCCCTAAAGGTCACATTACAATGTATCTCTATCCCTAAAAGGCACATTTTCTTTTGACCCATCATGAGAAGGTTCCAATATATTTTATATATACAACGCAAAATTGCATCGTGTAAAAACGAAAACTGGAAAATTTTCCGATATATTTTACATCCCATCTCTTATTTTAGAAAATATGTACAATATACAGTGGGTAAAATGTCTATAGAGGCAAGTATGATATTCTGTAACCATGAAGCTGTGAAGTTGAATGTTTTCACCTCCGTTCTATTTTTACCCTTTTTGCCTTTGAATAAGTTTACAGTAAGCAGTAATGAATACGTAGGTGAGTTCAACAATTGGTGTGGGGGCAAGGTAGTTTATTTTAAAGAGTGTGAGAATTTTGATGAGTGAAAATATGTTTTATAATAATCTGGACCAGCCTTTGTAACTTGATTGGTGATGTGTCAAGAAAATAAAAATAAAACTTCACCCCCCAATTTTACGGACCAGCTCAATATCTTCACAGGGGTGTGAAAGTTAGTATCATAAACATGATAATGTTCCTTCTCACCCTTATGTTATGCTTTAGACTCTCCTAACTGAGTCAAGTTCATAACGAGAAGGGAGTGAAGCTTTTGATGGTGACTGATACAATAGCATTTATGACATTAATCATTACAGGCAATGACAACAAAAATTATAATCTAAGCTACAATGATATTTGATGGCGATATAAAAATCTGACATGAAATGGAATATATGCTCTAAATGGCATAGCCACCGTCTTCCTGTCTACATGTAATACACTTACTACAGCTAATACAAGGACTCCCGATTTATAGAAATACCTTATAGAGAAATGTTTACATTATTTGAATCGAGGAAATCTTAATTACAGAATTATATGTACAAAATGTTGAAGACCAGACTTTCAAAATATAGAATCCAGATAGGAAACAAATTCCTGATCTTATGCAGACCGAAAGCTAATGGAAACAGGAGTCCACAATATAACAGTAGAGTATTGTCACCAATACTACTACATTACTACCTAAAGTTGGGTGTAGTCACTATCAATAATGTGCCGTCTACTGGGAACATACCGTACATAAACACTGTACCTGGGAATACAATATAATTACCATACAGCTCAAAGTCTGCTGTGTTAACAGGAGTTTACTAATGGTTCAGAACACTAACATTACTACACCGGTACAGTACAAAAGTCGTAAGGTACTGTATAACATGAAATGTTTGTTGTGTATAAACCTTGGTTTTCATGGATGCTATGAACCACAAAAATGAATACAGCGAATTTGATTGATGTGGTTTACTGAATATTTATATGTGGTATCCATGAAAGTTTTTACTGTGAAACTACCTAAATAGCTTCAAACCATGAAAGAAAATACTTTCAAACATTTCATTTTATACAGTAAGATATTTCTTAATCAGGAAAACTGTCGAAGGGATTTTGAACTAAAAGAACTGCAACAAAAAAAAGTAGCTGCAGATTTCTCTTTTAAAAAGAGAATTTATGCTTCTTCTCATAGGTATCATTGCAAGTGTTTCTTTGTAAATATATGAAGCTTTACATCAAGCTAATTTAAAGAATATTCAGAGGAGTGACTGAGAGGTTTAAAACAATATGTTGAATCCTAAACATGTTGCTATCTCCTCCCCTGACTATCAAATAGTAACACTACACATCTGGGTATGAGATAATTAGTATATATACTGAGTCACATATACAATACTGCACACATACAACAATGGGTTATAGTAAGGTAGGGCTAGGACACAATTGTACAGCACCGAACACGTACAAAAACGAGTATGTATGGACAGGTAAGCCACAACAACAACAGGTAGGTTATAGGATGGAAAGAAAATTATTACAATTGTACTCACTATATTTATATGCTTACATAATCAGCAAAGGGTATACATATACACCTATTTTACCACAGATAAGCCTAAACAGTTCTAAAAAGGGTATTAAGTTTATTTCCCAATTTGACCTTGATACTAGGGTTCGTCTCTAAATGTATCAAAACAGTTACAGTAAATACTGTCCGACTAAAATAAATTCTTGATAAGTAATCGTTGCTTTTTCAGATACTTGACAAAATTATGGCAATAATATTTTTTGACAACTTAATTTTTCTATAATACTTCAATTGAGACAAAGGTAAATAATTCAATATACATGGGAACAGTCACCCCCTCTGAAAATTCACTGCTATCTAAAGCTGCCTCGTTTGATAGTGCTTTCAATGTGGGAGTAATTTGTATTTTACAGTCTTAACAATTCATTGTCACTTTGTGTATAAATCTTATAGCTCCAAGCTCAAGTAATTTTCTTCATGAAAAGAGATGGTCTCAGACCTAGATATTTGATCGGTACATATGTTAAGTATGACCAATATACCTTGTACAATAGTCCTCCCTCCCCACAGAATTTTATATTAATATATCTACATAACCACAGAAATGTTATATATCAATACAAAGAACTACAGTCCAATATATGCTGTTAATATCATTTTTTATATAGTCGTAATAATTGGAATTTGACTAGATAATCAAGAGATCAAGAAAAGGTTTGATTTATTTTTGAATTTCAACCTAGGTATTCATTGAATAACAGACAAGTGAATCACATATAGAGGGACAGAGGATTAGATCACTCATCAGTGGAACAGATTGTCTGGTTAAACACAGAAACACAGGCCAGACACTCAAGTAATTTTAAAAAAAAAAGCAACTATTAGGATTAATGAGGGTTAATGAGGTAACAATTTTAATGACCTTGAAACTCATTTAGCCTAATTAGTTGCCTGACAGCTGTAGTTGTGTTGTTATTAAAGTTGTCACAGTAACAGCCTAAAGTTCACTATGAGCCAATGTTCATCTCTAGAGCCTATAGTTTATAAGTGTTGTAGTTCATCATAAGACCCCAATGGTCAACATAGAAACCTTAAGTTCACTATGAGCCAATGTTCATCTCTAGAGCCTCTAGTTTATTAGAGTTGTTGTTCATCATTAGACCCCAAAGGTTAATAGAAACCTTAAGTTCACTATGAGCCAATGTTCATCTCTATGACCTATAGTTTATGAGTGTTGTTGTTCATCATTAGACCCCAATGGTCAACATAGAAACCTTAAGTTCACTATGAGCCAATGTTCATCTCTAGAGCCTATAGTTTATAAGTGTTGTAGTTCATCATAAGACCCCAATGGTCAACATAGAAACCTTAAGTTCTCTAATATGAACCCCCAGTTGACCAGGGAACAGAAACAACTCCTTTTTCATGCTTTGCATACATTATCCTTTGACATCTACCATGTAAACATATACAACTACAACTTTTAGTATTTAAAGTATCCTCAAAATGCAAGCTTTCTAACTTTCACATGGAAATAAAGTCAAGCAATACCTAGTAAGATAATACTATGAAAGAGAATTTTATAAAATAAAAATTGTTGTGCTAGTAAGTACCATCTGTGTACCGTTATACTATCAATCCCCCTTATTCCAGACCAGCTTGGACTGGATGTAATATGAATTATGATTATTGTGACATAAACCTTTTAATCTGATGTTACACAACATATCAAAACCAAAGATTCAAAATACAATGACAGTGATTATACTGAAAGGAAGATAAACACTCCGTTTAAAATGTAATTGGCTCCATCCAGAAATACACCATTCCTGTGTGACCTCCCCATTAACAAATTAAAGTTAGAGACATAAAAGTGATTATTAGATGTCACACATTTTCCCTACAACCTCATTGGTTGATCATAATCATGTGCAGGTTGCTGATTTGTAATATTGACTCTGTTACTTTTTCGGAAACAGCATTATCGCTTTCTCAGGTACACATAACCACATATTCACCTCAACTTAGGTCTATTTTTGAAAATCATATCATGCTCATTCTTGTTACAGAACTTTATAAATTAATATCCTTTTATCCCAGAGAATAACACTTTATCACTCCTGGGTGATGTTTATAGTGAAATGTCAACCAGAGGGAAGGTTTGTGAAGTTTAGCACAAGGTTTGCGAATTGCAGAGTGCTTAACTTCAAAATTCTTTCCCGAGGGTTGAGATTTTTCAATACTTTATCACTCATGGGTGATGTTTACAGTGAAATGTCAACCAGAGGGAAGATTTGTGAAGTTTAGCACAAGGTTTGCGAATTGCAGAGTGCTTAACTTCAAAATTCTTTCCTGATGGTTAATATTTTTTTGCAGAATAGTGGAAGTCCTAAAATCTAACATTCAGAATCTTCTTGTTACTCTCTCAGGTAACAAGCATAAGAATTGTATATCCTTTATTGTCTATTAATACATGATCACTTTTCAACCGAGAGATTTTGTATATCACAATATGGATAAGAAATTCCGCAAGTCCTTAACCAAACATCGACTATCAAAGGTGTGTTGCTGGATGGAGCAATGTTTTCAGAAACCTACGAACACTTGTAAAACCTAACAAAACAAACAGGCACCCTGCAAAATAAACAGTAACACGAAAATATATAGAATTCTGATATCTGACGAACAATTGTGTCTCTATGCGGTATACACCTCAGTTTCGACCAATGGATATATTCAGACAGAAAGCAGTCCCAACTCATATCACTGAAAAAAATAATAGCAAAATAACCGTAAAATATTGAATAATGCTTTTTACATTTCACACTCAATCAACAAAATCAACAAAGTTGTTATATATTTCAATGCTAATAAAGCACTCCATTGGAGTCTGGAGCACACAGTATATACATAACAATTTACCCATCTATACAAAAAAATGGAAACTTGTATATTCATCATCTTGTACACCACACAGCCTTCACTTGCTTGTTGGAACGATGACCTTGAATCAAGGTCAAGGTTATATATATATATTTCAAATATAAAGGAGTTGATGAATCAGTTTAGTGTATATTCTTGTTATTCAAGTCTGGTTTATGCTACAGATTGATTGAATTTGTTTGTACCATTCTTGTTATTAATTTAATTTACTCCCCTTGTAGTTACTGAGACAAACAAATTTAATATTGCACACATATTTTTACGTATTTTTTTTAGAAATTAATATAAGTGAAAAAAATCTTTATCTGAAATGTGAATTTTAACAGAAATTAATTTTGATCTTAAATTTTATGTTTAAATAAGTTGCCGGTTTTTCTGTGTGATAACATTCCTTATTACAGTAATTCCCATAGCACTTTCCCCTGTATTACACAAATTTCGCACCAATAATGCACACCTATCTAACAGATGACTTTGTCATTCTGTATTCAATAGTCAAGCCTATTACACTTAATCTATAAACTATATATCTTAACACTTGTTTGACATAAAATAGCAGGTATATCAGGGATGCAATTATTTATCAAAGATTTTGTTTCCTCAATTTTTTCTTTTATTTAAAAGACTTTGATTTGATTTGAAATATTAAATAATACTGATTTTCTATGGAGGTTAGGTAGGTTGCTACCTTTTCATCAGAACTCCACCTTTTTTCGAATCCCTAATTACATCCCTGGTATAGTTGCAAAAACTCTGCAGAGACAATCCCCCTACAGCCTTGACGTTAACAGTACTAAACCCCTCAAACAGAACAGTAGGACCTATACCCTGTAACTGAGTGAGATTAGGTTATTTCAGTCAAGGGTTAAGTTTAAATTACAAAGTCCTAATCTACAGGCAAGCCTAGGTTGGGATGTTACAGAATCTGAGCCTTAATCTCTCTCAGTTACAGGCAATTGATTTTTTTCTCGTACCTCCTTATTAGTCCATTTTAATTTTAACGTGGTTTACAATTATCCCATCTGGGGCCTCAATTTAAAATGGCATCTGCACTTGTTTCATGATGTAGATTATCGTATGTATGTTATATTGCGAATTAAATAACACCAAAGGCAATATACTGAACGCCATTACAGAATATTTCAAATATAGGTTATTAATCTGTTTAAGTGCGAGAATGATTACATTGACATTTGATATTTGGTGCCATACATAAACACGTAAAGGTGTTTCACAGATCGGATGATATCATAACATCTAGCATGGCGTAAAACATGGGATATCCCTGGCTAAGGTGTGAGAAATTGTCTACTTTAAATGTTAGATGTGACCGGTGTAGTTATCGGTATCCTCACCTAAAACCTTGTCACTTCAGAAATATCACAGATTTATCAATGTATGCATTCCTGTGTATGTTTAAAAAAAAATATACAATCTACTAATTCCAAACATTTATAAACCATAAAGATATTTTACAGGTGAATTCTTTTAAGGAGATTATACTTGACCAAAAAAAATGCATTTGCACACAATTGTTCAAAACCATTCAATTTGCAATTTTAGAAACATCAAATTCACTACTTACATTCAACTCATCATAATCACAGGCAAAAGGAAGTATAAGATACAGAATAAACACCAACACTTAAATCATTCACCCCTGAAGTTTAATAATGAACTATTCCAACCTTTGAATTGGAAGAGTTCAAATGCATCTTCAGGGGTGAATGAGTGAATTCATTATTCATAACGGTCATAATTCACTGCCATTTTTGACCATCACACATTGTACTTAGTTCATTAAGCCCACATGCACAAAATGCTGAAAGTGTTCAAAAGTAAGCTACAACAACTTTGATATTAACAGTGGACATTAATACCTTGCCTTTGAAATAAATGCTGGACTTTCCTCTGGATCTGTGAACCACACAAGTGTAGGTACAACAAAGGGAGATAATTTGAGGTGTTTTGATGAGGTAGAACATATGACAGAGTAGTTGTTTTAGAAATTAATATCAATAATTTTCATTGGTGTCTGATTTTTTTCCTCAATTATTATGTGACCAATTCTGTTAGCAAATAAATCTTGATGCTTTATATACTGAAAAAAAGATAAGATAGTCGAATTCTAAGCAAACTTGCAGAAATGATTATGTTGTAGATAGAATGTAATCCTTACAATCATTCATGAATGTTGTACAGCAAAGAGATTATTCTTAAGATGTCAACGGGCACAAACAGGGAGTACTAGTCAAAACTAGAAAAGGCATCTTAGAAATCAAATAGTTCTACTTTTCATACACATATCTTCCCTCTGCACCCCAGGACGCAGCTTTTTTATCGATTCAGGTATACAAACCTGACCAATTACTAGCCGATACCTGTTTTCTGAGGATTACAGAAGAGGCACACCTACCTTCAATACCTGTCAATTTCCCCGCTACACAGCCGTAAAATTTCTATCATGTACCCCAAAGAAATCAGACTAAGTCTATTGTCTCATCAACAAGGTGTCATATGAAGAGCCTTCGATTTTGTTGTGACATATCCCAAGGGTTTTAGAAAATGTGTATTTCCAGAGCAGCTTCTTGGATTTTGAAGATAGAGAAAAGGACGTCTATAATGTTGTAACCCTGAAGTACACCCGACACAGTGCTGTGACTGTGACAAGGGGTATACACCGTACCCTGTAATCTCAGCTACGTATGCAAATTATCAGTCAAGGAGTATGACAAACCTACACATACCAATGTTTCTACTCCTACTTAGGAAAATTTATGCCACAAATTCTTTTAAATATCTACGTGAACTAAATCCGTGATATATATCTAAAAGCCATTGACACTACACTAGGAGATCATTGAAAGCTTCAAACAGGTTGAAAATTTATATGTATGAAAATTCCCTGATAACACAACCTTTGACACATGCATACGGTACAGCTAGCTTTAAGGACAAGTTTTTCAGACACATCTGTTCTGTTGGCTATATTGTAGATCAGCCGAATTGTAGAATAGCATCTAGCTAGTCATGTGTCATATTTGAAAATCAAATTGTGTTTTGAAAATAATTATAACCATGGTTTTTCCAGCAATGCCCTGCAGCAAAACACATATAAACCACATGTGTTGTGAAGTCATACATGCTTTCCGAAACGCCAATCTCAACCAAGTCTGCGGTAAAATGTTGAATGATGGACAGGAAGGATATCTGGTGTATGTAATTAAGAAAAAGTCACAAGAGATAGAATGGTAGGTATTAGGTATAGGATGATGTTGTAAGGGGAAGGAGAAGGAGAATTTAGTTTTGGGGAGGGATATAGGTGTATACATTGTCAATAGATTTGATATGTAAGGAGGTGAGGTGTTTAGGGGATAGACTATGTATATAGGGGGCTGATATGTAGGGTGTACGTGCGTGTGTGTATGGTATAAGTATGATCATACAAGGCTCTATATTACAGTGAAGATGACAAGATGTCCACAAAGATGATTGCATTCCAGCTGGGCTATGTCCGATGTAGATGCAAGTTTCTACTAAGCACTGATCGCACATCGTTACAAAACCTCAACGCATCCAGCATTGGTAGCAAACAGAGAAGAGCGGTGTCTGTAGGGTCACTGAACCATGACCGTATAGGGATAGCGTTATCTGTAAACAAAAAATAATCAGTTATTTACCTTGTGTAGTAACACAACATTACAACTCGAAAAATTTGCTTAAAAATAAGTTTAAGGGGGATGTGGAATTTCCAAAAGGAAACATGAATTATTCAAACATTTGGGCATTTATACATGTATAGTAAATATATTTATAAATCATGTTTGAAAAATCATTTGAGAAGAGACCTCTGAGTTGGACCCTTAAATTTGATATTTTCCAACTATTTATTTATTCTAAGATCTAATGATTTCATCTGAAAGAACAACTCAAAGCATGTGATTTTATAGAGTTATTTTGCCTCTAAGGTGGTAAATTCAGAAAATTAATTTACGTTTAGAAATTTTAGCACAGAATCCCCCATGGAATTTTTAAAAGGTTGGCAAGTATGACAAACATATTCTGCTAGTAACTTACTTTGCTTTCATTCAGCAGAAAAAATACCTGAGATCACTAACAGATACAACATTTACCAATGTATAATCATTGCACTTATGAACATACTTATAAAATACAAAGGTCTGCATAAGTCCAAATGTCTGCTTAACTTCAGTGTGCTTAACTAACCACTGAACAGGAAAATAAATTCAAACTTTTTGTCCAAAACTTAACACTGACTGCCCCGAACAGTGGGCAAGTAGGTTTGTACAGGCCTAAACAACCTACCTTGATAATTTCTATATGCCACTGGTGAATTGTCAAGTATAAATATACTGGAAAGGTCACTGCAGATATCACATAAATCCTTGGTGTAGCTGCCTTCTGCTAAATGACAGTGCTGAAATAATGACAAACAAGATACAAATAACTACACTTAATAACAAAAGTTAAGTGATCTACATAACAATATTAGCCATGTGTTGCTTTACATGAGGGAAAGATAATAAAGTCTGTCCATTGCTGTATAGTTACAGGGAACGATAACTCTGTCTTTCAGTAGGTAGGGAAAGTCAACAAACACATTTTCTGGTTCCATGTTAACCACTGAAATAAGTTCACTATATCATTACGAGGGTTTGTGCTGCCATCAATCCAGGTTGCTTTCAAAACTATACTGTATTTAGATAATCAGTGTAGGAAAACAAATGTCTCTATAACTTACCTGCCTATAATACATTTACTATATATCACTTACCTGCCTATTATACCTGTACTTTGTATAACTAATAACTTGCCTATTAAACCTGTACTATGTATAACTTACCTGTCTATAACACCTGTACTATATGTAACTTACCTGTCTATAACACCTGTACTATGTATAACTTACCTGCCTCTAACACCTACTTTATATAACTTACTGTCTTTAACACCTGTACTATATATAACTTACCTGTCTATAACACCTGTACTATATATAACTTACCTGCCTATTATACCTGTACTTTGTATAACTTACCTGCCTATTATACCTGTACTATATATAACTTACCTGTCTATAACACCTGCACTATATATAACTTACCTGCCTATTATACCTGTACTTTGAATATCTAATTACCTGCCTATTATACCTGTACTATGTATAACTTACCTGTATATAACACCTGTACTATATATAACTTGCCTGTCTATAACACCTGTACTATGTATAACTTACCTGCCTCTAACACCTTCTTTATATAACTAACTGTCTTTAACACCTGTACTATATATAACTTACCTGTCTATAACACCTGTACTATATATAACTTACCTTCCTATAATACCTGTACTACGTATAACTTACCGTCTATAACACCTGTACTATGTATAACTTAACCTGTCTATAACACCTGTACTATATATAACTTACCTTCCTATAATACCTGTACTACGTATAACTTACCTGCCTATTATACCTGTACTTTGAATATCTAATTACCTGCCTATTATACCTGTACTATGTATAACTTACCTGTCTATAACACCTGTACTTTGTATAACTTACCTGCCTTTAATACATGTACTATGTATAACTTACCTGCCTATTATACCTGTACTTTGTATAACTTACTTGCCTGTAATACCTGTACTTTGTATAACTTACCTGCCTATTATACTTGTACTTTGTATAACTTACCTGCCTATAATACCTGCGCCGCAGTATGCCTTTATTATTGTCCAGTTTATCCGCCACAGCTGCTCCGTAGATTTCCATACTGGCTGTAAACACCACTAGGTCATACCATTGACTTACCTGTCAACGGATCAAATAGATGTAAGATAAAAATAATTACAAATTTAATATTATATCATAACATTTAAATATCAGCAAACATTGATTGAAAGCTTCCTTGAATATTTTATTTAAATTCTCCGAGCAATTCTTGACCAACAATTCTTTTATCTTCAGAATATCATTATTTTCAATTATATTGTACTATTTCTATATATAGTCTCTCTTTGTCTTTATCTTATTTTAGATAAACAATGTTGACAGCTATCTTTTGAACTAGTGGGTAAATATATAATTTCTGTACATACGATGAATTCATTTCATGCCAGTATTTATATTTAAATATGCATTCAATTAAGATTTATCTGGGTGAAAACTAAGAAAAGCATTGGAGTGACATACTATCTGGATATAAAGTACACAGAGCAACATGAAATTCTATTCATTAGCACTGCGTCATGGGTAACTTACAATTTCTAAGAAATAATCCACATGTGGTCTCTTGTGTACAAAAAATCGTACAGGATGTCGGTCAATATTAACCTGTAATAAAAATAGATAGTTCAAATTGTAAAATTGTTCTTGATTAAATTAAAGACATCAACAAAAAGCTGTAAATTGTAATATCACTTAAAATTCAGTTTCTCCCTCACCATAAACATTCTACATGAATTTGTAATTTTTTATACATGTATATTTTTGAATGAAAAATCTCAAACAATACTATTTCAATGGAAAATCTCTGTTTTTGTTATATATAAACAGGGTACCGTAAATTCAGTTTGGACAAATACAAATATATTTCATCTATATGTTTCTACATATGGATTGTCAAACCAAACAAATTGTTGGAAGATAAGAAATTTCATTTCTAAAAAAATAAATGTGTTGTTTTTATAGCACAATGATCTTAACTTAAACAGCGCTTCTTTGAAAATTGCAGAACAAAAATTGGGGTAGGCACAAAAAATAAGGTAGATATGGTACCAGAAACAAAATTTGGTTTGTTTGGCCTTAAATGATTCATTAGTCAAGTGAAACTGAAATACATGGATATATATATATACATACATGAACAGGCAAAATATTTTCAATTTCAACCTCACAGTGTTTTATCTACCCTTTATTAATTAAACATTTCAAGTTCTCAAAATGACAGATTTCAAAATTCAAAAAATCAGTTTGAAAATATGACTCAGGAAGTATGATCAGAGGTATATACAAGAGGCCCAATGGGCCTGCATCGCTCACCTGGTATTAATCTCACACTTGTAATCGTAAAAGTGGACTAAAAGTAACAGCTACAGGCAGAATATAAGTGTTTGATTCATAAGAACCTATTAAAAGATTTAAACATGACACCTGTGACCTTGAATGTCGAACAAGGACATAGGGTGTGAAATACCTTGAAAGTAGGTCAAGGTAATTCATTTGAACAAACTTGGTAGCCCTTCATTTCAGCATGCTACAGGCCCAATTTCAGTACCCTGTGCCTTTTGGTTATTGAGAAGAAGTTGCTTGAAGATTTCAAGACATTTGACCCCTGTCACCTTGAAAGTTGGTCAAGGTCATTTATTTGAACAAACTTGGTAGTCCTTCATCCCAGCATGCTACAGGCCCAATATCAGTACCCTGGGCCTTTTGGTTATTGAGAAGAAGTTGTTTGAAGATTTTAAGACAGCTGACCCCAGTGACCTTGAAACTGGGTCAAGGGCATTCATTTGAACAAACTTAGTAGCCCTTCATCCTATCATGCTACAGGCCCAATATCAGTACCCTGGGCCTTTTGGTTATCAAGAAGAAGTCGTTTGAAGATTTTAAGACATCTGACTCCAGTGACCTTGAAAGTGGATCAAGGTAATTCATTTTAACAAACTTGGTAGCCCTTTATCCCAGCATGCTACAGGCCAAATATCAGTACTCTGGGCCTTTTGGTTATTGAGAAGAAGTTGTTTGAAGGTTTTGATATATTTGACCCCTGTGACCTTAAAAGTGGGTCAAGGTCATTTATTTGAACAAACTTGGTAGCCCTTGATTCCAGCATGCTACTGGCCAAATATCATCATCCTAGGCCTTTTGGTTACTGAGAAGAAGTTGTTTAAAGTAAAAAGTTGACGCCGGACGCCGCACCATGGCATAAGCTCACTTGCCCTTTGGGCAGGTGAGCTAAAAAATTTACACTGATACCATGACATACACACACATATATATATATAATTACTTTAAGGACAAAATCGGGTGGGGTTCCAGGTTTAACTGTCGGCTTTAACACGCCATCATGATGAGAATGTATCAGTGTTTCATCTAGATCAAGTACTAATGTCTTCCTCTTAAGCATACCTGAAATACATCAAAAGGAACCAATCCATGCAAGATTTAGCAATATTGTGACTACGTATACACATATCACACTTTAATATACATGTACAGTACAGTGTATTTCGTCTGCGGATTGCAGAGTTGTCTTCTCTTGGGAGCAGGTATCGATTGTTACATCATTGGTCTGTGTGAGAAAATTACTTCGTTTTCTCAAAAATTGATGACGTTACTCTCACAAACAAGTGACTTAACAATCAATACCTGCTCCCAAGAGAAAATAACTCTGCAATATGCAAAGACGGTATAACAGATCATGGAATTAGATAACAAACTAGTGACCTAATTTGAAAATAATATTTTGTTGTACAGGAATTTATGAGTACAAAAAGCATAATGTTAAAACATGTACCAGCAAATTAACACAATTACTTACGACAATACATGTCTGGTACATTCTATTAATTATGTAGTACTAGAGAAGCAAGATTCACATGATTGGTCAACGGTGACATCTTATCATATCTACAATTACTATAAATACACACTGGTTGATGACTGATATGGTTTGTATGTATGTGTATATAAATGTTGATCAATATGTGACACTTAACAGAATGTTTTTTGTTATTATAATTAAATGACTCATTATTTCACTACAAGCCGATCTGAAGAGTCTGAATACTGTAGTCCATTTTTAGTGGTTAACCATTATATATATCTCAAAAATCTGTACTATAGTGAGTGTGAATACATAAAAAAATGCATATTATACATATTATTAATTAAACTTAGTGAAATCAAATTAATAATAAATTTTAAGTTTATTTTATTTTAAACAAAAGATTATATGAAGCCAGACAGTTTTCATTTTTAATCAAACTTTTTTGCTTTTATTAGATTAATTGTACACTTTAGATGAATCAAAATATTATGACTGATTTAAATTTAGAAACACAAGTAAGGAAATAAACTAACCCAATCATCACAAGTTAGATATCTTATGTCATCCATTAATACACATGTACAGATTAAAGACAAACAGTTTTGCATTATTGGCATTACCTCTGATAGAAAATTGTCTATAATTATATCAATCTAATTAAAATGAGATCCTAATTCCCATTCCTCTACGATACTCTTACATTAGGTAGAGGAACAGGAATTAGGATCTGATTTTAATTAGATTGTAATTATATATAATATCACATCACAAGGCAATTTGATGCACGAGTTGATCTACAAATCATACAGATCTTGCAATGTTCATTCTGGACTGTGTCATATGCAGTATATATATAAATATATAGTAGATAATAAATAAATAAGTCCTTGCGAAGGAAAATATAGAATAAAAACAAATTTTTCAGATCGTCCGCTAGGCCTTTCTGCCTTCTAGGGCTTCTTCAGGCGGATTGTAATATATATATATATATATATAATAAAAAGTGATTAAATGTCCATGTGAAGGAAGTAAATATAGAAAAAAAAAAATTAACGACTGACTAAAAAACTAGCTGCTTTCACCCTTCACAGGGCTCTTTAGGTGTTTAGGATATTTAGGTCACGTGCGTGCTTATTAATTAGTTATACGTTTACCGTGTGTGTGCTCTGGGAATTGTTTATACCGTAACAGCAATACACTGAACGATGACCTGATCGTAAATGTTCAAGTGGCGTATATAAGACCATGACACTATAATATTGAACCAAGTTTACACTTTTCAAAAGTGAATATATATATCTATACAGTTAAATATCATTATCTTAACTTACCTGTCTGAAGAATCTCCTAGAAGAGATGAAAGTACTAAAGACTCTTTGTTGAGAATTTTTCTTTTTATAATATTTCTTCGTAGTTAAAGATCATTTTTCTGCTTTTATAATATACAGTTATATATACGATAAATATATATATATATAGGTGTACAAGAAATATTGAATATACACCAAAGTAAGTTCACAAATATGAATAAATATACTTACTAAGCCTATGCTTGGATAGTGGTGATAGAGGTATAACTTCATATCTAACTGTTTGATGTTGTATAACCTGCAAAACAAATGTAACATTACTTTCAAAACATGGGCTTTCAGGTTTTACCTTGTCTCGCACATGTATGTTATTTTTGCATTTCTAGATTTCTTTTCCACTGTGGTATTTTGAAGTTAAAAACTTCCTTATAAATACTGAAAAAATAACCAAAAGGCTTCAATACTAGTCCAGGGAAATAAAATATGCTCTCATAGGCAAAATGGACATTTAATGAAATTCAATTCAAAACTGATAAAAATCTACCAGAAAATCTTTCATGACTCAGGTAATGATCAAACCGGCGAGGACACAGCAATTAAAAATTATCTCATTCTGTTTTAAATGCAGACTGACAATTTTACATTTCAAACTACAAACTCATTTAAATTTCAATCCACAAATTTGAGAATCACATGGTTTCAGTGTGGGGGTACAATTTCTTATCAATATATTATATATAATTAAGCATTATCCACAGTTCATACAGACTTTACAAGTATCTCCTTCTTGCAATTTTCCAAGTTATAATAATGACAAAATCTCCTGTTGTGGATTGTGCAAAAGAAATCAAATGAAGTAAATGAAGATGTTTTGTTCTGGGAATTTAATTTATAGTGTTGTCCTTGCATGGTCATCAATTAGAACTTTATTCAAGTTTCAAATAATTGCATTTATCTACTGTATTATTTGAAATCGTTTAATGCAGTCTACATGGGAACTAGCGCACTCAATTGCAAACTGACCATATCTTGTGTAAACACAATAACTATTATTTTCTATATATATACAATATGTAGTATGTACCCAGTTAATATTATTTTTATCTACAGTAAGAGTCTATACTTTTGTTGATTTATATGTAATTTTCATGCTCATTAAAGTAAACAACTGCCTGTTTAAATGTTTTACAAATGATTGACATTATAGCTACAAGTAATAGTCCACTTGCATATTATTTTAAGGAAGTTGAAGTAAGCCACATACTTCACGGGTGAATGACCTTGTGTTTAGGATATTTAGGTCACGTGCGTGCTTATTAATTAGTTATACGTTTACCGTGTGTGTGCTCTGGGAATTGTTTATACCGTAACATCAATACACTGAACGATGACCTGATCGTAAATGTTCAAGTGGCGTATATAAGACCATGACACTATAATACTGAACCAAGTTTACACTTTTCAAAAGTTACTATGACCGGTTTAAATATTTAAATAAGCGGGCACGTGCTTGTTTTATTTCAAAATATTTACAACGAGACCTTCATCATAATAAACATTTGAATCCGCATGTTTAGACATTTCAGTGTCATGGGCTTTACAGACGTTTGATATATCTTGAAAACAACTATCTGTCTATTTTTAACAGTGATAACATAACCTAGTTAAAATGTGTGTCACTTACCGTCCTGGCCTGTCTTTTGAAGCAATAGCAAACGAAACTCCAGATTTTAGCAGCCAGCAAAAAGAAACCGCGTAATCCCATAACAAAGTACTTGATCATGAGTGTAGATGATTTTATAAAGACCTTGTAGTTCACTTATTTTGTCCTCTAGAGTCTTTAATTATGTAAATAAACAACAAGTTGCAGGTAACTGTCAACTTGCCTTTTATCTGCAAGGCGCCATTGAATTCCCACAATTCTCCTTCGTGCAAAATGTCCCGATTTCTTGTATTTACATTGATTGTAAAGCAAATATCCGAAAGAGTCCGAATGAAAAGCAAGGTCACGCGAGATTTAACGACACGGGAGACTTCCGCAATGGCGTCTGTGGAAACCAAGTTTCACTTGTTTTTACATGCGAAAAAGATCATTTAGCATGTAAAAATAAATGGTAAGCGAACCAATGTTACACACAAGTAGTAAAACAACTTACTAAAAAGTATAATTGCGGGATGTAGTCGTTGCAAAATCGCCTTTGACGAGAAACGTTTATAAAATAGGCAAAACGTAATAAATTTCAAGTGTATCAGATTCAGATACTGTAAATATGTTACAAAATGACACGACACTGAACTTGACATGGGTCGCTTTACAGTGCAAAAGAAGTTTGGTTATATACGGGCCCGTTAACTATTTTTTTTAAATAACTTTCTATGTCTTTAAAAGAGAAGAGAGCGGAGAAAGTCCGAATGTCGTCCACAAGGTATAATATTGAAATAAGGTGAAGGTCTACGAAATCTTACAGGCCTAACGAGGACGGTTTCTTGAGAGTGTTAAAAAGTCGTTGTTGACATTTTTATCGACGCAATAACAGAGAAAATTTTGTCCATGTAAGTATGAAAAGTGTGTGGATATACTCAGGTATACAAGTGTTACAGGAGCAGAAAAATGTATGGCCAGACACTGACAGGATCGAACCCTAGACTAGAAAATCTTAGACGGACACTCCACCACATTGAGCTACCTGGTTGCTGATGATCTACCCAATCTAGTTCCGTTACATTCCTCTCTCATTTTTCTAAGTCTTCGCCCTGAAGACCAAATGAACAATTTAAATTAGTATAGCCAACAACCGACCCAGTCTAGTTCCGCCACACATTAGTGCCTAATTTGTAGATTCAGTCACTAATGCACAGAGTCACTTTTGCTTGTGCAATCAAGCCTTAGCTTTAGACCACTCACTCCCCCAAGATTTTTGGTGTGATACCCAATGCTGGCAGACTGATAGGGCTAGTTGTTATCCCTCCTATGGACAGTGGTTTTCCTTGGGCTATCCTCAACCAGAAAAAAACCATTTTGCTCCCTGAGCTGCGTCTACTCAGAGCTGGTGTTTTTTTTTACAATGTGCATGATTTCAAAAAGGAATTGTTATTATTCTTATATTAAGAAACTACTAAGTAAAGAGCACACAAAACCTGATGATCATTTTTTTCAAAGGAACGTATAGAGGTTGTTCTGACTATCTCTGCCACATAAAAAAAAGTTTAAAAGGAGATTGTCAGTTATTTCAAACAGAAATCATGTGTTTGGGGATGACAGAGAAGTCTTCATCTGGAAAAATTGGAGATAATTCTGTGAAAGATGGGAGAAAAAATATATCTTACCTTACGTAATTATATTGATAATTGAGTTATTCACCCAAAATATTCAGTCATCAATGTTTGATTATGTCTGTACTATCTATATAAAAAAATCCATTAAAAGCTGCATTTTGTTGCCATACACACCTCTGCTCTGGTCCAGTCATGAGGCCAAACAAGAAATATCCAGTAACCCTACCTACCTAAATTGTTTGTGCCTACCTTAAAAGTTTTAAGGCAATTTTCAAAAAGCACTGTTAAAGTCAAGATCACTCTCCTATATAAACCACATACAATTGTTATCTTAAGAAGTAAAACTTGTTACCTACCTACCTTCTTTAAATTTTTCCAACATTTTAAAGGAATCACATATGTATATATTTGTCTGACCTTATAAAATGGCCTTTTGTAGCATACTTTGCCATTGTGGATTGTTTTAAACTAGTTTCATCATTGCTGCAAGATGCAAGAATACTCCATGTAGCACTTAAATATACCTGATGAATGGAAGAAACAGTTCTCCTAAGGAATAGATTAGACAATTTGTTTAAGTAGAAGTTGTAGGTCAAATTCAGCATCAGCCACATGGAAACAGTAGAGCTGGTGTTTGTACATTATTGATGCACATGCTTTCTAAGTAGCACTGATAAGTAGACATGGATGAAACATTTCTTTTTAACCTAGCAGATAAATTGATGAGATCTTAATCAAGGCACTGAAGTCATACTCTGCAATATCATTGCAAGTATAATCCAATTAGCCCATAGAGTAACGTCGCGCTACCACAATTGGTACAATTTTGGTAGTTTTTCAGTGATATTTAAAAATTCAGATATTGTATCTGGAATGTTTCTTGATTCTTGACAAAGACTACCTATGGTGGTTCATTTTCAGAAAAAGTTTGAATTTCAAGTAATTTGTTTTTGAAAATAGAACGCTAAACTCGCTGTGAGATTTCGTCCGTTTTTTGGCCTTGATTAGTACCCAAATTGGTACACCATATTACAGGCTATGAAACTTGTTTTTAATTTTACTAGTTGATGTGCGGATTGCAACAAAATGTATTGCTTTTATAAATACCATACTGAACTACATTTGTTTACATACACTTTTATAATATCGAGTTATAAGGACCAGAAATCAACATTTAAACATGCTTATATTTAACTCCTTCAAAATCCTCCAAAATTTTGTCGATGTACGTCATTTTTACTGGTTTTCTGATATGTTTACTTTGAAGTCATTGTGTACTCTTAAAATGTTACTGAAAACAAAACTATTCAGTGGAAATGCTGATAAATATCTATTTTGTTATACTGTTAAAGGAAAATGCTCAAATTTAATTTTAAAGTTCTATTCGAACCATTTTCTGGCCGTGTACCAATTTGGGTAGTGTACCAATTGTGGTAGCGTGACGTTAACCCTGATATGGATGACCACTTCTAGCTCATGCATTAATGATTACTGAAGAATATAAGGAATATATATGAAAACATAAAATGTGATTCATTAAATAAATATATTTCATTCAGGTTTTAAATAATGGGTAGCCTGGAGCATGGCACATTTGACACCAAACTCCATGAGGCTGTGCGATATAGTGACCTAGATGCTGTGAGAGTGGCTCTGCAGCAAGGCTACGACCCAAATCTGATTGGTCTATATCAGTGGAGTGCTCTACATGAGGCCTCGCACAATGGAGAGGAGGACATCATCAAGCTCCTACTTAAACACAAAGGTTTTTATGTCATAACTCACTGCATTCTGTTTGTATGTTACATCAGCAATGAGATACATTGAATTGTAAAATTCTAATTTCAATTTCTATGGTTAAGTAAATCATATTATATTTCAGGCTTTTGACCATCGCAACATCAATACCTGGATTAATCTGTTTTTGCGATGGCAGCGTAGTGGTTGGAGCTGCAGATATTTTTAGCAAGGCAGTTTGGTGCCAGAGATGATGACTTCCTTTGGAATTTGTATTTTTATTGTTCATTACCAATTACAAACACAGTGTAAATCATAGAAATTAGTAAAGTTGTCGTTATCGTACTGTGTCTAAAATATGTACACTATACAATTATATATTTGTATCGAAATGAAACTTCTACAATCACAATGTGCATATTTGGTAAACTGTTTTTATATAGTTGCATATAATGGGAACCTCAGATATGCTTTTCTTGTGAACTTAGTTCATATGTTTGCATTCATACAACTTTGTACATCATGTATATTGCTCATACAACTTTGTACATTATGTATATCACAGGTAACCCAGACAAACCTGACTCACTGGATGGGTTCACAGCCTGTCACTATGCGGCCCAGGCAGGGCATGTGGACTGTCTCTCTCTACTGCTTGCGGCCGGGGGGCACTGGGATATCACAAACAAACAAGGGCAGACTACTCTAGATGTCGCTGTAGAAGATTGCCGGAATATTTTGAATTTAGCAAGTAAGAAAAGAACCTCTGTAATGGAATTGCTTAGTCAAGACTGTATCTGGCTACAATTTTTTTTATTATATCAGCCAAACCAGTTAAAAGATATTATTATACCTCATTCATATAAGCATTGTGCGATTGGATTGATTTAATCGTATTACAGGGAAATAACTTATTGTTAAGAAGATGACAATAACGGTCCATCAGCTTGATAATTTCATTCGTACCAATTTTAGGATTGTTTCACATGAAAAATTACTTGTAGGTTAAAATATCGGCATAAGAAAGATTTGTGGTCAGAATGTTAATCAGGGACGATGCACATGTTTTAGTTAACATTAAAGCTTAGGGTCAAATATCACACACAACTGGATGTACCTAAACCATTGTACCTACAGTCTCAAAATATCAGGATGAAATAAATTTGATAACCTCTCATCATGTTAATTAGGGCTTTTATAGGGTCTAGATACCATCCTCATATCAAACTTAAGGAAAATAAAAACAAATTATTCGCTATATCTTGCATACACTAGCTCCCTATAATATCTCGCCAATTTCTGTCTGTTGTGAATTGACATATAAGGCAAGTGCAAACTGTCATGTTTATTTTAAATTTGAATAAGAAGAACAAACACTAGAAGATGAAAAGCTTTGTACGTAGAAATGTATGATATGGTCATCGCTGATTTCAGAATGCGAAACCGAACAGAAATTGGAGAAAGAAACAAAGAAGACCCCCTCACAAGTCGAGACGAAAACAAACCCTCCACTAATCCAGGTAGATCCTGTAAAAGATGATGCATCAATATCTGGAGAATCGACTGCAGAATCAATTAATCAAGATCACAAGACAATAAAAGACAGGAAAAATAAAGATCCAGGTATGACATCATCTAGATCAAAGTTTGTTCAAACTACTGACAGGTTAATGTATTTAATTACCATTTTGAGTTTTGAAATCCATAGTTAGGTATACAAATATATCAGTTGATTCTGTGACATAAGGTTATCTTCCCTGATCTTTGTTATCACGGTGTGTAACTGTTGCTGCAACAGTGGTGTCTGTGTGTCTAGGTGTAATACTATGTGAAGTGCCCCAAACTGTCAGCATTTCCTATAAACTACTGCTGTGTACAGTATTGGGTTATCTCCCCCTGATCTTTGTTTTCATTCTGTTGCTGTGACAGTGGTGTCTGTGTGTCTAGCTGTAATACTATGTGAAGTGCCCCAAACTGTCAGCATTTCCTATAAACTACTGCTGTGTACAGTATTGGGTTATCTCCCCCTGATCTTTGTTTTCATTCTGTTACTGTGACAGTGATCTCTGTGTCAATAACTATAGCTGTGTTTACAATACTACAACATGTGCCCCAGACAGTCAAATTTTCCTGTAAACTACTGCTGTGTACAGTATTGGGTTATCTCCCCCTGATCTTTGTTATCATTCTGTTGCTGAAACAGTGTCTCTGTGTGTATAACTATAGCAATGTTAACAATACTACAATATGTTTCCCTGACAGTCAACTTAACATTCTCCTGTAAATTACTGCTTTATTTGCAGTACTGGGATATCTTCATCTAACATTTGAATACCATGCCAAGAAAACAACACTGAAGATCAGAGTCTGGCAAGTCACTGATCTTCTTTTACCGCCACGTAAGTATATACATGTAGTTTGTGGAGAGATAGGAGTTCAATCAGTTATCAACTTAAATCTGAGTGAAACTAAATGGAACTATTAGTTTAAATCTAAATCTATATATACACATAGCATTTGAAATGAACTGAATATTGAATATTTAAGTAAATAGAGCATTTGAGATATTACAGTTTGCAAGTATACCGGATACCAGGTATTTAAGTTATTACACATACAATGTATATGGTGTATTCGAGATATTACTGGTAAAATGTATACAGGGTATTTGAGAAATTACAGGTAAACAGGGATTTTTGAGATATTACAGGTATATAAAGTATTTGAGATATAATACATATACAGGGTAGGTGAAATGTAACAAGTATACAGGGTATTTGAGATATAATAAGAGTACAGGGTATTTGAGATATTACAGGGATACAGGATAGCTGGATATTACAGGTATTTAAGACAGACACTGGTATTTGATATGTCCAAGAAACTAATAACAAAGTTGGACTATATCACATGTGTTTCCCCATGAAACACAATCTTTTAAAACTAGTTTCACTATTTGCAGCTACAACCTCAATGATACATTCCATCTATGTCAAGACCTACCTGATGCCTGACAAGAAAAAGAATTCTAAAAGGAAAACAGAAGAAGTGCGAGTAGAAAGTACAGAGGCTCATCTCCAGGTGAAGAAAGGAAGTCAGGGTTTCCAACATGTGTACTCCCCATCAACATTTAAGTTTACCAAGCCTCTGGAGTACACAGATGTTACTTCTGACATGGTTAAAGAACAAAGTGTGCAACTTGAGGTTTGTATCACTCAGAAATATTCAAAACGAAGCTTTCTTATTGGTCAGTATCACTTGCCGCTGAAGTCTGCAGTTCGTAAGTTGGTGCGGACTAGCTATCCACTGATTCCCTGTATGAACCACACCATACCTAACAATATGAAGGTTTACTATGCATCTGAACTTCAGATCACAAACTCGGCACAGGTGTTTTACAGTAACCCAAACATCAGAAACTTGTCCCTCAGTGACTTTTCTGAGGGGTCAGAACGTGCACTAAGTGAACTTGAACTCACAGGGGTCACAATTGGGGAAGACCCTTCCTCAACTTCAGATCATTCTGTGGTGAAAGTAAAAGACTTTGATGAAGATGTGGAACTAAAGACTTCACTAAAACGTGTAACTATATTAGATGATGAGGAGTTTAACCCAGAAATGGTGAAGGTCAATATGAATAAGGTTTCAGGGTCAAGTGTTCAGGGTTCAGAGGTCAAGGATAAGGGAAGTGCATCAAGTGTTACTGATCTGTCACATCACAGTTTAGACAGTCAGGAGACAAATCCAAGTATGCTAGTACATATACCGGAAAAATCCAATCTTAGTCAAGATCAAAAGCATCGCAAAAAGAGATACAAGGCAGACCAAGGTAAACATACAGACAGCCAGGTATCCAGCGCGAGGCCCGAGACTCCGACCTGGGACTATTATGACTTTGACACAGGCACCAGTGTTATAGAGATCCCGTTTGAGGACCCACAACCAGTTGCTAACAGGCCAAATATAGAGAGACCCACCGTTCACAGACCTACTGTGCAGCACCATGCCTCCGCCCCAATCTGTCTCCCAATGGACACCACCATGGGACTACAGGCTGAACGCAGATCACAGAGACAGAAGGGCCACAGAAGAACAGACAAAAATCTGGACACAATTCCCGTGATAGTTGTCACACAGGACGATGTTCCAAAGTCTACAGTGGTGGATACTTCAAAGATAAAAAAACTGTCAACTCCCAAAAAATTCATTGCAAATGTCACGCCTCGGGATGTGGAAATAAAAATGGACAATTTAGGTGTAAAGCCTAAAACAAAAGGTCAAAGTTCATATAAAAGTTCAAAGTCAAGGTCAAAAGGGGCGACAGTGGAGATTGCTGCAGATGTACATGTGGACGGACATCGTAGAATGAACAGTGATACATCCATCGAGATTGAGCCTGAGGATTCTTATGTAATTGATTTTGAAGAGATAGGGGAAGATAACTCCATCATGCAGTCAGATTTACTAAAACAGCACAAGGTGCCGATGCAAGTGTTTATAGATGAGACGTATGACAGTATGGATGAGTTTAGCGTCAGTTCTAGCGGGGGGACCATACCCTCCCTATCACTGGGGAGGAGACAACCCCAGAGTACAAAGATCCTCTCAGGGGACGAGGACTTGGAGGTGATTGAGGTTTAGTATTCCCTACTTCAAACCTCTGGATACAGACTTTCTAAAGAAAAGGGCCTAACAGGGGATAATCTCAGGGAACAGCTACTGGATACAGATCAAGTCTCTCTGGAGTAAGAAAGTCAAACAGAAGTGATTTTGAAGATTTTCTTCCTTGATACAGACATCCTTCCAGATGATAGAGGTTTGAGGTCATTAAGTCTAGCATTACAGACCTCAAGGGGAGAGATGGGCTACAGATGTTTTGGTAATCAGTTGTTTTAGTATTGAGATGGTACAGTAATTGTACAAACAGAAAATAGAGCCAGCGCCAGTCCAAAAGTTAGTGGGTTATTCAGTGGGGTGCTGCGCTTGAGCGTGGATACCCAAGGTATGGAGGGCGATTGACAAAATATGTAAATATAAATATATAAACAAGAACTTGGACTTAAATTTCAGCTTTAGTTGTTTTTTTCATATCTTTAGTGTTCTGATTTTAAATTTAAGATTCTTAAGGACTTTTGTATCGAAACTGCCTATTCTTAGATACCAAACCTACTGGGTACCAAAACATCTAGAATTCAGAGAGATAGCCATTGTGTGTTTACATCCTCCTGTGAGATAAAGTCATGGAGATCATTAAAGTGCAGCATTATTTACCTCAAGGGAAAATATGTCGCCTTTATGAAGACAACCTCCAGAGGAATATGATCAGTGTAGCAATTCCAAACTCGGGGAGACCTTTCCCCGGGAAATCATGTGAGATCTGGAGGTCATTGGGGTTAAACATTCTGAACACCTCTGTACTCTATCTCTGGTGCTTGTTATAAGGGGTGAACAACTCAGCTTTAAACCATGGCAGCAAACATGTTCATTTGTAGTTAAGGAAATCTGTAAATTTTCTTTTAAATTTATTTTTAAAACTTATTAAGTTAAAAAGAATAAAGCAAGGATGATTGTTATACAAACTCGTAATGAGAACTTACATGATCGAAGTTATCCAACACTTGTATACCTGCTGTGACATACTTTAATTCTTTAATACGTATATGTAGTTACACACACCTTTTTACTATGCAGAATTATATAATGTTGGGTAACCTATTTTTTCCGGAGATGTACATAAGTATGATATGAATACCTGATACTACCTTCATATTTAGATATGTTGATTTGGTTGTTTTCTACCATTCCTTAAGTGCAGCTCTAACTACTGTATCATATGTGGGTGCAGACTAACAAGGTACTCCATTATTATCCCTGATCTGTGGAGATTCAACAACGGGACAAGATGTTTGTACAGAATGAAGCAAGTTGAGTCAAGGTTTGATATCTCTTTGCTTCAATCGTGCAAGAGGGATTGATTTGTTGACATAACATGTTATATATTTTGTATATTTATATACAACAAATTTTCATTTAAATATGAACTGATTAATGGATATGAGTATAACTATTATTAATAGCACTTTTTTAATCAATTAATGAGATTGTAACTTAAAATAATTAATGAAATTGTTATGTTTCTTTTATACAGAATATGTGTCACAAGTATAAGATTCAATTAGGTTTAGTGGGGTTTTATGTTGGGATTTGTTTAAAGCCAGTTGTTATACAAATCATTACAGTAAGTTGTATACATATTTTGAAAATAAGCCTCCTAGTGTTGTTCTCTTACGTTACCTTAAATGTAAAACTTTTGTTGACAATTTTATTAACATGTAATTTGTTTGGTTTAAAGCATATTCAATGAAATTTGTTTATCATAATTATTTCCTTTTTAATTATATTCAAATAAATATCAAACTTGCCGTAACAATATTGTATGTATTACATACTTGCCAACTCTCCCTACTTTGGAGGGTAAACTCCCTTTTTTGGACCCTAAAATTGAGCATTTTAACCAGTGAATTGGCTACACTATTCATATTTTCTAAGATCTAATGATTTAATCTGAAAGAAGAGTTCAAACGATGCCATTTAAAAGCGTTATTTTTCCTTGGGTGTACATACACACATTTTATATCTGCTATTAATTCTGAGCATGCCCAATCTCACCCATGTAATATTTAGTTCTGAGCATGCCCAATCTCACCCATGGAATAATTCTGAGCATGCCCAAGCTCACCCATGGAGTATTTAATTCTGAGCATTCCCAATCCCACCCATGGAGTATTTAGTTCTGAGCATGCCCAATCTCACCCATGGAATATTTAATTCTGAGCATGCCCAATCTCACCCATGGAATATTTAGTTCTGAGCATGCCCAATCTCACCCATGGAATAATTCTGAGCATGCCCAAGCTCACCCATGGAGTATTTAATTCTGAGCATTCCCAATCCCACCCATGGAGTATTTAGTTCTGAGCATGTCCAATCACACCCATGGAATATTTAATTCTGAGCATGCCCAATCTCTCCCATGGAATATTTAGTTCTGAGCATGCCCAATCTCCCCCATGGAATAATGCTGAGCATGCCCAAGCTCACCCATGGAGTATTTAATTCTGAGCATTCCCAATCCCCCCCATGGAGTATTTAGTTCTGAGCATGCCCAATCTCACCCATGGAATATATAATACTGAGCATGCCCAATCTCACCCATGGAATATATAATACTGAGCATGCCCAATCTCACCCATGGAATATTTAGTTATGAGCATGCCCAATCTCACCCATGGAATATATAATACTGAGCATGCCCAATCTCACCCATGGAATATTTAGGTCTGAGCATGCCCAATCTCACCCATGGAACATTTAATTCTGAGCATGCCCAATCTCACCAATGGAATATATAATTCTGAGCATGCCCAATCTCACCCATGGAATATTTAGATGTTGGCAAGTATGTCATTAAATGTATGCTAGAATGCTGAATTAGAAAGTGAGTATTGTTTTCATGGAGAGTAATTATACTGCCTCGCTCAACTCACCCTGGGCGATTTCTAAATGTTTCATGTTTTTTCTCCAAATGCATCAACTGCTGATTGAGTGTGAAGCTTTAAAAAGAAAATGTTTTATGTTTCTGTCTAAGTGTATAATCAATACTTGCTGTTACTGTTTCATTCTTGTGATAAACTGAGGGAACAAATTTTACAGTAATTGGATAGAATTGGTACTAAACGTTATAATTATCAATTTTAACCCATTATATGGAAAAGGAATAAAATTGAGTGGGTTTTACAGAGCAATGACATTATCATCGGTAAACTGTCAGATGTTTTGTGTATAACCAGTATTGATATTATTACATCTCTTTATATGTAATCAGTGTTGAAATTATTATATCTATACATATAGACCAGTATTTAGAATTATGTATAATGTTTGTTATAAAGTACATGTATACTGTTGGTGATTATCAAATAGTGGCTATATAAGGACCTTGGATGTAAAAATTCAGGGCAACCAATTTTTTGGCATGTGCTAAAAACTTCATTCTTTTGTGCTGGGTATTAACATCTTGCTCATGGGTATTGTTTTAAAAAACTGTATTTATACACCCTACGAGAATTACTGTTCACAATAGTTGAGGTTATTTTTGTGATTTTGAAATCCGTCCAATCATTACACTATGTTTTATTTAAGTACATTGTATGTATGCTCTATGTGGTCCCAGGGAAGGGTGACCAATTTCTGTTGTCCCAGGGAGGGGTGTCCGATTTCTGTTGTCCCAGGGAGAGTTGTCTAATTTCTGTTGTCCCAGGGAGGGGTGTCCGATTTCTGTTCTCCAAGGGAGGGGTGTCTAATTTCTGTTGTCCCAGGGAGGGGTGTCCGATTTCTGTTGTCCCAGGGAGGGGGGTCTAATTTCTGTTGTCCCAGGGTGGGGTGCCTAATTTCTGTTGTCCCTGGGAGAGGTGCCTAATTTCTGTTATCCCAGGGAGGGGTGTCTTTGATTTCTGTTGTCCCAGGGAGGGGTGTCTGATTTCTGTTGTCCCAGGGAGGGGTGTCCGATTTCTGTTGTCCCAGGGAGGGGTGTCCAATTTCTGTTGTCCCAGGGAGGGGTGTCCGATTTCTGTTGTCCCAGGGAGAGGTGTCCGATTTCTGTTGTCCCAGGGAGGGGTGTCCGATTTCTGTTGTCCCAGGGAGAGGTGTCCAATTTCTGTTGTCCCAGGGAGGGGTGTCTGATTTCTGTTGTCCCAGGGAGGGGTGCCTAATTTCTGTTATCCCAGGGAGGGGTGTCTAATTTCTGTTGTCCCAGGGTGGGGTGCCTAATTTCTGTTGTCCCAGGGAGGGGTGTCTAATTTCTGTTATCCCAGGGAGGGGTGTCTAATTTCTGTTGTCCCAGGGAGGGGTGTCTAATTTCTGTTATCCCAGGGAGGGGTGTCTATGATTTCTGTTGTCCCAGGGAGGGGTGTCTGATTTCTGTTGTCCCAGGGAGGGGTGTCTAATTTCTGTTGTCCCATGGAGGGGTGTCCAATTTTACGGAGACTGAGTACATTATATTGCCTAGCTTAATAAGGAAATGATGATATAATGGTATTTTTCTTTGAAAATTTATTACTTTTATTTTCACAAAATGTCTATGCAAGAAATATTTGCACATTCTGAATTTGCATATCATAGCTAGATTATATTTATGTTTTTGTTCATTTATTACAATACATGATGTGACGTATCCCATTATGATGAATAGTATGAAAGTATGTTTATGTAATTTATATTCATATTTTTTTTTGTCTCTTACAAATTGGTTATCAAACATTTCTTTTGTTATCTAGCGATCCAGTAATTGACACCTACCCTCTTCGGGGCACCCAAAGTACTAACAATTTGGTAAAATTAGCTAGAATGTTTAGGGAAAGGAAAAGACCATTTTTTTTTTACTTATTTCTTATTCAATTTCTATTTTGCAAATTAAATTGTTTAAATCAAATTTTCAATTTAAAAAAAAAAAAAAAACATAATTTCTCCTTTTTGCTTTTAATTTATGTTAACAAATTTAAAGATATTGAAAGAAGTTATGATAGCTAAATTATTTATTCCTCGCTTTATTTCATATATTTTATGTATGATATGTCTTGTAGCAATTTTTTTCATTCCTTATTTCATTATATGAAATGTTGACTTTTTGGTTAATTGATAAATGTAAAATACATGAATATATGAATAGTTCGCTTTCAAACAGCCACTCAGAATAGGCCTACCAAAATCATGTTGTGATTCTAAGGTTGGATTGGGAAACATGGGTTACATGCAGTGCTATGAGGTAAATAAATGAACACATTATTTATTTTGTAATCTCTGATCCTTCATTGTTGATGCTACATAAGATTCGCTGCATGCTCATTTTAATTTAAGTGGTAATAATTTTACTATTAAAATAATGTCATTTGAAAAGTCCCTAAAATCATCATTACTTGTAATTAGTCACTGTTTAAAGCAAGACAACCATAAAACTTGTTCATAGTTTAATACATCTGTATCTGATTTGAGCAAATTCACCAAGAATGTTTCCAGGTAGATTGATAATGACTAATAACACCTGATAACGATTCTCTCAGGCTGCTGTTAGTCAGAAAAAAACGATGTTTGGGAGACTTTTTCCATTATAATTAATGAAAACCTTTGAACAGATATTTATTTCAATTTTGTGGAAATTCAGGACCCCAATTTTTTAAAATATACCAAACGTAGTTTTTATTGGTTGGTTATCCTTTGCGACAGGAGGACCATTGTCCTCATTGGTCACCTGAAATAAACATTACGGATATTTGTGAAGAAGACTGCCGGGAAATGAGATAAGAAGCGGTCACTTTACTAAAATATAATGTTATTCTCGGAATAACTGAGGTCAGTTGGGGTGGAGAGCTACCCTACTAATTTTCCCCCTCAACATTGATTATTCTGGACATTTTTTTCTCGGGCGTTTCCCAAAAATTACACCAAGTGGGTAAAGAGTTTATTTTGTTTATGATAAACAAGTGTTGTGCTATTGTCTGGTATGTTTTTATAAATCTGTGAAAGAAATGTACTGAAAAATGTAATTTTGAAAAGTGAAAAATGATATTTTTATAGTGTTGTCATGATTGAATGGTTCATTAACATCATGTGACAGGTCATTAGTGATAGACCTTTTAGGTCATAGGCCAAGTTTATGGAGCAGACATGAAATTGTAGTTTGTCACTTGTTTATACACTGCAAGCTGGTTCTTGCTGAAATGTGTTGCTGCAATATATACCTAAATATGTCTGCCTTTACACTATATATATACACAAATATTCTGGTAATAAAACAAACTAATTCTATAATTGTGTGTCTAGTTTCATTTATTTTATCTCATTTTTCACATGGAAATCTTTTGTAGAGCAGATAAGCAGGAGACATTTCTATATCAACATGTATCTTCCTAACCCTTATCCACTACCAAGGCATAGCTGTCAACCTTCCCTCATTTTTGACCAAAATTTACCAATCTCCCTTAAGCTTGAAACTCCCTCATTCAAGTCCAAACTAACACCAACTCAAAATCTACATCCTGTTGTCAAATGATCTCCGAGTTACTGCAGGGCGTGTGTAATGACCATAACAGGTGTGTCTGAATCAAATGAATGCTGTTTGGAGTTATTTTGATACATAAAAAGGGAAAGATGAAAAAACATGAGCAAAGCAGTTTTAGCCTCATTTCACACTATCTCCCTCATTGGAGGTTTCAGAGGTTGACGCCTATGTCAAGATGACAATTGATGTTTGCATATCACATACCCAACACAACACTGGAGTGACAATTGTGTGAACAAGTGCAATAGATGACTGTGAAGCACACTGACAGCAGCCATCACTAAATTTTTGTTTCAGAAATTTCCAAAACAAATCTGAAATATCATAAGTGACATAGAATGGAGCATCAACACGATAATGGATATACATTTGAATAAATTGTAAGTTTAGGTAGCTTAGCACTTTTCAAAACCAAATGTATGTGGATATTTATATACTTTCCTGGATATTTGATTTGGGAAAATATTTGGTTATGAACTCCTAATTATAACAATAGCCAAATATAGGATTTATTCATGTGGTCCAATTTCTATCAATCACTGCTACACAATTTTTCAAAGGTATTATTATAAATCACCGGTATATATTATATATTTAAATTAACATTTACAGATAATTACACAATCAAGTTACAAGAATAACAATATGAACTAAAAGTGACATGCAAGTTAAATTGGCACACAATAAATATACAGTACAGTCCAGTTAACCTTTGACCTTTGCATTATAAACATTTCTGTAATATTACTACGCGGTCACAGTTTAACCTGGAGAATGAAGACATCTCAAACGAAACTTGATGCTCACCATCCTAACATCTTTATTAGTAACTTGTAGGATTGATATCTTTTGTTGGATTGATAGTCATGTTAATATATATCATGCGGTAATATTTGATCAAACTACATTTTGTGTTGGATATTGTCCTTTGAAAATGCTAAGGTTGTCCTTTTACCTGACAAGTTTGTAAAAGAAAGAACAAGAGATTCCTGATATCTTGCATCTGTTCTTTTCTTCTGATTAATCTCAAAATAAGATATGCAAAACTGGAAGAATCTAGCTACTTCTTTTACTAATTTTAGACAGATCTGTAATTTACAAATTGATGGCCATCTTTTTTCTTTCGCTCAGCCTTAAAATTCATCATGCTCCACTAAGACCAAGGGGACAATACACAGGAAATTTAAGAATGATTTGTCCGGTTCTTCCCGATACAGTAGATTTTGCTTAATATCACTTCTAATTTGTCAGATGGAAACATGATATCAACCGGAATGTGACATAGTCAGAAAATGTACTAATAAGTGTTAAGGTTGGATGACAGAAAACTGAACCACAGATGAAAGGTGAATTAAACTTTCAAGATTTCTTAGATTTTTTTTTTCCCTTTTTTAGCCACATTCTCCTAAACCAATGTGTACATTTGAATTACAATGTATTGAAGGCCATATGGTGGGTATTTTCTTAAAAAATAAATACAGCATAATTAAATGGCACAATTTCAAGCTGAAAAAATACACAACATCATACATGTACATGTAAAAACATTGTAGGAATGTACAATCAAATTTTAAGGATGTAACATTGAAAATATACAATAAGATGTTGTTCATATATACAATAACATTGTTCGTATATACAATAACATTGTTCGTATATACAACATTGTTCGTATATACAATTACATTGTTCGTACATTTTATAACATTGTTTGATAACACTGTAATATTACATATAATAGCTGTGTCCTCCCTCCTGCCCAGTGATTGCCTTATTATTTCCTCTATGCATAGATACATAGTAGGATCAGTCTAAGGCCATTCTGAATTTTCCTCCAACATTTTTATCATTTCTACCTGTCTATTTGGTCCCTATGGTAACAACACCCCCAGCGGTCCCGCTAGTGAGGTAGATCGCTCTGGTCCTGCTAGTGAGGTGGATCGCACTGGTCCTGCTAGTGAGGTGGATCCCTCTGGTCCCACTAGTGAGGTAGATCACTGGTCCTGCTAGTGAGGTGGATGGCTCTGGTCCCACTAGTGAGATGGATCGCTCTGGTCCCATTAGTGAGGTAGATCGCTCTGGTCCTGCTAGTGAGGTGGATCGCACTGGTCCTGCTAGTGAGGTGGATCCCTCTGGTCCCACTAGTGAGGTGGATCCCTCTGGTCCCATTAGTGAGATGGATCGCTCTGGTCCCATTAGTGAGGTAGATCGCTCTGGTCCTGCTAGTGAGGTGGATCCCTCTGGTCCCACTAGTGAGGTAGATCCCTCTGGTCCCGCTAGTGAGGTAGATCATTCTGGTCCCGCTAGTGAGGTTGATCGCTCTGGTCCTGCTAGTGAGGTAGATTCCTCTGGTCCCGCTAGTGAGGCAGAACCATGGATTTTTTTTATATATTTCGGGATACCCCTAATTATAAGCTGCCTCCCTGGTAACGTGTGTAGGACCTAGCATATCCTTAGGCTGTGACTTGGACTGGATATGTGTATCAGGACCCTCCAGGATCTCACCCTGATCTATAATTGTTATGATCCAAATTTCTCTACATTGTTTAAATTATAAATATAACCAATTAGAACCAATCAACCTGGATAATTCAAATGATAATCAGAACAACAAGTCAGTTTTTTTTAAAAGCAACTTATGACAGGATGACTTTTGAAAGCCTGAAAATGAATGGTTTTGATTGGTCAATTGTATGTGTAATACAATAATACTGTGTCTATGTCTTACGTAAATGTTCTCACATTGTAAGTATAGGTAATAACAATGTATACAATTTTATAATAACACTGCAAGTATGCAGGTTTATGTAATGATATGTAATGACATAATCATATGCATTAGATAATATTGTAAGTACATGTTATAATATTGTACATAGAGTATTTTTCAGACAAGGTATACTGGCAGTGACAATGTATATTTTCGACACACTTTTTTCTTACATTGATTCGTGATCAGGACGCTCCTTCTCAAATTTAAACCCTCTGTTTATTTGTACAAATACCACATTTACTTAATTATTAAACATGTAATGGTTCATTACCATAAATGCATTACAAGATTAACTGTTTTCATCATCATCATCATCATCATCATCATCATCATCATCGTCAATAAATAGCTTGTCATTGTCAACCCGTTGAATAAGTTGTTTGCTATTTTAGGTCGTCTATTGATTGGTTTGTTTACCATTGGCCCATTACATGATTGCATTGGTATGTTATATTTGGCCGGTTATACGATTGGTTTTTCATAGTCGGCCAATTACATGATTGGTTTGTCATGGTTGGCTAATTACATGATTGGTTTGTCATGGTTGGCTAATTACATGATTGGTTTGTCATGGTTGGCTAATTACATGATTGGTTTGTCATGGTTGGCTAATTACATGATTGGTTTGTCATGGTTGGCTAATTACATGATTGGTTTGTCATGGTTGGCTAATTACATGATTGGTTTGTCATGGTTGGCTAATTACATGATTGGTTTGTCATGGTTGGCTAATTACATGATTGGTTTGTCATGGTTGGCTAATTACAGGCTAATTACATGATTGGTTTGTCATGGTTGGCTAATTACATGATCGGTTTGTCATGGTTGGTTAATTACATGATTGGTTTGTCATGGTTGGCTAATTACATGATTGGTTTGTCATGGTTGGCTAATTACATGATTGCAACATTATACTTTGCCAGTTAAAATGACATGGATTTAAATCAAAGCAAGTGTAATTAATGAAGCGTAAACGATGGACACATGTAGTCACCATTTATCTGATGATTTACTTGAAATGGATTAACAGTTATTAAGGTACTAAATATAGTAACAAAGTAAAAGCATTTACCAGGTTCCTGGTACACAGTAATAAAGCAAAAAATATCACGGTGTTTTTGGTTCATAAAAATACCGCACAAAGGATCACAATATTGCTTTGGTTTGAACAGAAATGGAGTAAAAATGATGACTGACAATCAAGAGTAGCTCTCCCCCGGCAGTCGTGTATAATGGCGTGAGTCAGGACTTTGTATTAGATTTTGATAGTCAGATTTGAATGAAGATGTTATTTCATCAATAGTCTTTCCTTTTGTCTCCGGAACTTTAAAAAAGGTGAACAACCAGAAAAATACCAGCATCCCAATGAAAGGAAAGAAGGAGTATTCTGCTATGGCAGCCTGCAAAAACAAAACAATGGAAAATATCAGCGTTGTATATTCTACACAAACTTGAAAACACATACAGTGAAAATAACAAGTTCTACATAATGAATGTCAACACCAACTTTTATTATATTTCAAATTCAATTGAAATTTTCTTAGTGTAGAGTTACATTACGGTTTCACAGATAGCTTACTCTGTCCACTCCATGTATCTTTGAACCAACAAACATTTTAAAAACATAAAAGCCATGAAACACAGGATGTTCAATCCATCAAAGTTAATTAAGTTACAATAGCAACTAGAACACTGACAGGTCAGTAAGGGCCCCGTCTTGTTGCAATATATCCCCCATAATCATCAAGAAGCAATCTGCCCATATAGCTGAGCTTGACGTTTGATATTTGGACTTCAAAAAGAATCGCAAGGAAGCAAAATATACATTTTACATGTACTATGATGTGAGTCTTGTTTCCTTCCACCTCCATATTTGCTGGGCTAACAGAAATGTAAATACCGGTGCAATACTCATTTGTTAGCTTTGATTTGTTTTATTTCACCTTATATACCTCCTCCATCAAGAGCCATGGTCAAAGTCAGAGATCCACTTTGTCTTTGACCTTTGGACCCAAATGACCTTGACCATTAACCCAGTGACCCTGATCTTTGGTCAGTTGACTTATTCTTTAATTCCGACCAACTTTGCTTCTTAATATCATAACAAAATGTTCATCAGTGAAAAATACAAAACTTGACCTGGACCCTCTGGACCTGCTTAACCTGGACCTAAGGTCAGTTGACTCTGTGTTAAGTTCTGAACAACATTGCTTCATAATGTCATAACAAAATGTTCATCAGGGAAAAGGTACAAAATTTAACCTTCACCTTTGGTCAATTGATTCCTTGTTCAATTCTAAGCTACATTGCTTCAAAGTGTCATCGCGAAATTTTCACCAGTGAAAAGATACGAAATTTAACCTTGACCTTTGACAAAATGACCTTGACCTTTGGTAAGTTGACTCCTTGTTTAATTTTGATCAATTTTGCTTCATAATGTCATAACAAAATGTTCATCAGGGAAAAGGTACAAAATTTAACCTTCACCTTTGGTCAATTGATTCCTTGTTCAATTCTAAGCTGCATTGCTTCAAAGTGTCATCGCGAAATTTTCACCAGGGAAAAGATACGAAATTTAACCTTGACCTTTGACAAAATGACCTTGACCTTTGGTAAGTTGAAGCCTTGTTTAATTCTGATCAACTTTGCTTCATCATGTCATAACAAATTGTTCATCAGTGAAAAGATGTAAAATTTCACCTTGACCTTTGAACCTAATGAACTTGACCTTTGAACTTGACTTTTAACCTCAATGTGTATTTTTGTGAACTGAACATCTTGACCAAGTCTCATGTACATCAATCAATAAATACCAAAGTTTTCAGCCAGGAACTTAATTTGTGGACGGACAGACAGACAGACAGACAGACAGACAGACAGAGTGATTACTATAGGGCACCCGTATCTCCGATACGGGGCCCTAATTAACTACTGTATGACCAAACATTTTACAGTGTATCTGTCCGTATCACACAAGGAATCAAGGGAAACCTCACAAACCTCACAAACCTCACAAACCCGTTTGAAAAACGTAAAAGCCATGAAACACTGGATGTTCAATCCATCAAAGTTAATTAAGTTACAATAGCAATTAACTACTGTATGCCCAAACATTTTACAGTGTGTCTGTCCTTATCACACAAGGAATCAAGGGAAACCTCACAAACCTCACAAACCTTTTTATACAGTTCATGTCATACTGTTTATACAGTGAAGACTACAGGTACCAGCCTTTTATCAAAAATAAATCTTATGAAGTAGGACGAGGAAAAGTGATAAAGATAGGGCCGTCACTGGGGCTCGAACCCGCGACCCTTGGTTCTCCAGCCTGATGCTCTACCACTAAGCTAAAGGGAATTTACCTACAGCTGACGCTTGTAAGGCAACCTAATCAATGCACATCTTTTACACTTACATGTATTTCTGGGTATGAAAGTCCGACTATGAAATTGGCAAGCCAGTTGGTCAGTACAGACAAACTAACCGCTGCTGACCTTGGTCCCTGAGCAAATAACTCGGCTACGTAAAACCACGGTATAGAACCTGGACCTGTGGCGAAGGAGATCATGTAGGCCATGACAGCAACAATACTGATGTACGACAGCCATGAAGCATCATCCTGTAACATACAAATGATATGATACAGGTTAACTGGCAACTTTGAAATTCTAAAACATGACTGTAATCTCTGTGTCATTAAGACATTAATATAAGATGGTCACAGGGAAAGGTGGTTAAACCAAAAGCAGAGGTGAAATGTTCAGGGTCAGTTTTGAAAATGGTCTGTTTCAGTTCAATAGTTAGCTTATAGCAAAGTCTGGTGGAAATTTTGGCCATAAATATTTAAGATAGCCTATGGAAACTAAATATGTAATAGAAAGATGGTAGTACGGTGAGTGGCTTATCCTATCCTATAGTCCCCTCCTGTACTATTATAATAAATAACAAATAAAAGCATTATTATAAATACTGTAAAACTTTCAACATGTCAAACTTTCACCATTCGTCCATGAAATCAAATATCAACCAGCATTTATTATACATTTCTCATTTGATTACTGTGTTTATTATGTTATTAACTTATTTTCACTGTAATGATAGATTGGCACTCAATATGGAGGGTAAAAAACGTGAAAACTAAACTGTGACGAAAATTACCATGACAACAGACAGGTAGAAAGGGGTATTTACCTCTGGAATGTAAGGAGAAAGAGGAGGTTAACTAACCTTGAAGATGAGGGCCACTGAAAGAACAACACTGAATGTCAACATTCCCCCGAGGCCAATCAGATGAAGTGTGCGCCGACCAAGCTTATCCATGATGTTAGCCGACACGAAAGTCATGCAAACATTCACAGCTCCCGTACCAAGCGTTGCGTACTGAGCATTCAGCTGACTCAGTCCAGCACTCTCAAATATCAGAGTGGAATAAAAAACAACCTGAAAGTAAAACACCATAGCAACAACTCAATCATAGCTGTATATCCACTGTGCAATCACCCAGTGGAAATTTAGTCAAAAAGACATTTTAATTATTCAATATGATGAACATACCTTCTGTAAACATAAGTCTGTGTTAAAAATTATAAGACTTTTAAAAAACAGAAAAATGGATTTCTAAATGATTTCAGAACTTACAGCATTGACACCACTGAACTGTTGAGACAGCTGTAGCACCAAACTTATGATCAATGGAGTGAGGAGTTCTCGGTGCCTGAACAAATCTGTGAAATGGAACTAAAATCAAAAAAGAAAAAAGATACACCATTATCAACAATAAATCAACAATTATTATTTTCTGTAATAAATTCGTCAAGAAACTTAATTATATTCTGACCTCAGATACATGTATATCACAGAACATGAGGCAGATCTTACCTCTGCAGCCCTTTTTGCCTTTTCCATCTCAATTGTCATCTCCTCTAACTCATCACTGACATCGATGTCTTTTCTCAGCCATATCAAAGCTAAAAAACATTTCAAATATCAATCATAAGATGTTTTTCATTAAACATCTGATGTTTTACAAGAGAATACATAATTTAATGAAATCCAAGGTGAAAGTTTGTGGTATAATCACTGAATTCAACTTCTCCCCTCTCAACTTCTCCCCTGCCTAAAACCACATCTCTTGAGATCTCTTTCTCCAAACTCTCGATGTTATCTTTATCTCTCAGATCTCTTTCCCAACTCAACACATGTTCTCAGTATCCCAGATCTCTTCTGCATCCCCCAGATCTCTTCTCCTTCTTTATCATTCCATTCCAAAGAACCCTTCCTGTACCTTAAATTCTGAGACTGATTTCTCCCTCCTGCCTCCTTCTTTATCTCCCATACATCTTCTCTTGCCCCAAAAAATCATCCCTTTGTCCTAGATTTTTTCTATGATCTCTTTTCAAATCCTCTAGATTTCTTTCCTTGCTCCTGATATCTTGCCCTCTCCAATACATTGTTCCCTTCCCAATACACTTTACCCCTCCCAAAGACATTGTTCCTTTTCCCAGATTTCCTATGTATTCACCTCCCCCACTTCTTCTGTCAGAACCCTTTCTTTTCTACAGACATCTTCTCCAGACCTCCCCATTACACTGCCCCGCTGCCCAAGACATATTGCTCCTCCCCATAACATCTCCATGTTCAAGACTTCTGCCTCCACCAGACCCCTACTTCCCTATGACAGCCCCCGATTCCTCTTGAGGACCCCTCTCCCACACCTCCCCCAGACCCCTACTTCCCTATGACAGCTTCCGATTCCCCTTGAGGACCCCCCCCCCCCCCCCCCCCCTGCCCTTTTCTCCCTGCAACAGACCATCTCTTTTCCAAGCATCCCAACAACTCTAACCTGGAATTACATCTAAATCTTAATCTCCAAAAGTCACCTTTTTCTGCCATATCCTCATTGCCCTTATTTATCATTAGGTATCTTGGACTTTCTGGACACCATGGCAGGGTCAATAACTGGAACACCATCGGTACAAGGGTGCATCCTGTAACACAATATGTGATAACAAACTGTGAAGGTGCTAATACCAATTCCTTAAGTCTGTCCTGGTAAGAAGAACACATCTTAAACCCACACTTCCTGTCACAAGGATATCTAAACTTAACATGCATGTTGTTCTATGAATAAATCCTACCAATTATACCCTGGTACATGTATGTCTAATGGATAAATACAGTGAAGTCTACCTTGATGAAGGTATGTACAGTCTTGGGCTCAAAATTTGAATGATGAAGATGCCAAATCTTACCAAGCAAATAATTCCATGTGTCCTCCTTGGCAAGTACATTTCCAAGGCCCAGAATCTCCGAGACCAGAGTTCCAGAACAGATTGCCAGCTGATTAAATGTGCCTGATAATCCCCGTATAGAGGTTGGCGCAGTCTCCGACAGGTACAGGGGCACTATGACAGTGTTTATACCTACAGGTAAAACATATTACCATAAAAACTCACGTAAAGTCAACATTTTGTGTATGTTATTTAGAAACAGAAATTTTAGAGTTGAATGCCACAAAATATTACCAGTGAAGTATCAGGAACAATATCAATTTGGTAAAAACTTCTATGAAGATATACATAATTGCTACATCTTCAGGTGTGATGATAAACGGACACATTTTTATCACTTAATTATTGAGTGTTTTTTTGTTTAAGCACTAATTTATATTATCTCGAAAATAGCAACAGAATTACTTTTTATATACATGTGTATTGATAAATATCCTCTGAAATTAAAAGTTGTGTTTTTGTAAAGCATCTGTTTTATAAATGGAACTATATTTACTGGAGTATTAATATATAAGTCTGGATCAGCTGTGGCTCAGAACAGAACACTTAACAAACAATACATTATGTGCCGGCTGACATCTTTGTTGTAGTCAGATTGATAATACATGTTTAGTGTACTGTAATGTCTGCTAAATCTAATTTGATAGTGATTGAAGCTTGTATGTGTAAGTACAATCCAGCAGTGTATGCTATTGAATGGGTTTTATGAAACTCAGTTGGAAATTTTCCGATTATCAGGTAAAGAATCTGTAGCTGTGACCTTGACCCTGAAGGTATAACCTTATCCAGACTACTTGTGTAAAGCTTTGTGAAATTGATCGATAATTTTAATCAGGACCTGCAAACAAACTAAATGCTGACAGACTGACAAACAGACAAGTGTGTGACCTTCAGCTCAAGTCAAATGATTAGTGTTAAGCTTTATCAAATTTGGATGAAAAGTCAGAAATGTGTAAACAACCAAATTTTCAAATCATCAAATAATAGGATTCTGTACCTTGACCTTGAAAGTGTGACCCTGACCTTCATCTCTCTAAAGAAATTGATGTCAGTAATGCTGATATTTTTGTGAAATTTCATGAAATGTGGATGAAAATTTTAGTACGGAAGTAGAAAGTGCGACAAGACGAATAAATAATTTTCTAATCATCATGTTAAGATTCTGTAGCTGGGACCTTGACCTTTAATCTATGACCTTGACGTTTGATGGTCTTTCGAAAATTATGTCAGGAATGCTTGTGAAAACTTTCATGTAATTTGGTTGAAATAATTAAGTCACTGCCAGGAACTTGCAGACAAGCAAAATATTGACAAAGGGACAGATAGGATGCATGATGCTAATATACATTCTGCAAAACGTGGGCATATAACAAATTGGAAACATTAGGCTATTCAATTCAAAAACTTGAAAAGTAATAAACAAAAATTGAGTCTTATGGCAGATTTTTCTTAAATATATTAATCTGCCATGTCCCTGAAATGTGCATTCAAAAAAATAGAAATCTATTTAACAAACGAGCAACAAGAGGAACATAACAGAGGGATGTGACCTGATCAACATCTTCATTCAAATATAACGGTGTCAAAAGAGGATCCTATGGACCATAAAATAAGATTGGGTTATGTATTATTAAGAAATATATCAAAATGCACCCACCACAACACAACCCAGCCACAAGCCTCCCAGCTATGAGCATTTCATATGATTTGGCAAACTTTGAAGAAATTAGCAGGCCACTTGCTATTAAGTTGAGTAAATTATTTCTTAGGAGGCCTCCTCTCCTGGAGATAAAAATCAGTTTAACTGGATTAATACACACAACCAATTGATATTGATAGTACTACATTCCAAATCTATTGATAGTACATGCATGTGTGGCAGGTTTTAATTATACACAGGATTAAGGTCGCCTTCTGGCTTCGAGCTAGAGGGAATTTACCTTTAGCTCAGTGGTAGAGCGTCCGAATAGGAACCTAGGGATGGCGAGTTTGATCCCTGGTGGAAGCACACTATATATATATTCTTTTTCTTGTTACACATGTATAACATTTGACATCCCTAGGTTCCTAGTCGGACACTCTACCACTGAGCTAAAGGGAAATTTGACCCCAGATCACGATCTGTTAAAATATATATGTAGAATAAATAATTTTCTCAGAATGTTAAGTCAGCGTTTCCCTAAACAAACATTTGTTGTGATTATTGTTACCTGACCTGAACATGGTGAGCCTACCTGCCAAATCTGTTGGCCACATATCCTCCTGAGAGGCCCCCTATCATACCCCCGATGGCAAAGATGGACACGGTAAACGACCACAGGAGTGTGAGGAGGGATGATGACATGTACTCCCCATTTCTGTTGTAGTATGTGCTATTGTAGAAGTCCTGGATCACCTATAAAAATTATGACAAAAATCTAATAAACGTGGGGCCATTGGTGGCCAAGTGGTTAAGGCGTCTGACATTCTGCTACCAGTAGCCCTCCACCACTTGGATGAGGGTTCGAGGCCTACGTGGGGCAGTCCCCAGGTACTAGCCGTAGGTCAGTTTTTTTCTACTGGAACTCCAGCTTTCCCCCACCACCAAAACCTGGCACGTCCTTAAACGACCATAGCTATAAATGGGACGTGAAACACAAACAAACTTATAAACGTAAAGATATGGCACACCTTTTGATGATATCTAACAGGTATCATAAGCCATGCAGCATTACCAGGTGTATTTAATAAGCATTTAGCATTCAACGATATGCAGGCTTAACCCAGAACTACAGTGTCTTTTTTTACTTTTGTGACTCTATCCTTAAACAGTCTATAAGGTTTAAATCTGATGTCGATCAGAAATAACTATTTCTCATGACAAATCAACCTAAATATGTTGAAAAAATACCATATGCACAAGATACAAGACATTTTAGAAACCTGAGAATTCTAAGTCATTGATTTAAATTTGGACTTAACCACACTGAGTCTACTTTGTCACTGATCCAAGGGTCATGCAGGTCTTAGGTACCCGGGTACTTACCTCTGAGGGTTCATTGATGACACCAGAATTGTAACCAACGATGAAAGAGGAACCCAGGATTGAGGATGAAATGGCAAACGCCAAACGGGATGTCAAGCCCTTTACAAAGAGAAAAAAAATCATCATGATAGCTTTTATGAATATCAATGATACAGTGTGATCAGTTGAATTATATAGTAGGTGATACTGATTTATCTCTATATAAAATACAATTACCTGGTATTACAATACATATAATTATGTATTAATAAAGCTTAAGTCGAATTCCTTCGTCCCCTTCATCAGAATTTTGACATTTTGATAGAAAGACGTCTCCCACATTAGACATGTGTCAAAATGTCAATAGTATATGGTGTAGGAGCCACAGGTACATATGATTGTACTCAGAGAATGTTTAAGGTTTAACACCTGGTAACAGTCTGCATGTACTATATACTCTATTTAGCCCAGGTTTCCTCTGGGCCTGACACCAGATTTTGACAGATAGATGTCAGGTGGCACCAGGCTTAGACATTTTGACCACAGGGACCTGAGAATTTATTAAAGCTATATTTGGACCTAAACTAAGGTGTTCAGAGTAATTTTACACGTAAATGGGGGCGGGGGGGGGGGGGGGGGGGGGGGGTAGACTGATTTCGGTAAAATGGTGTTTTAACCGAAAAACCTTAGTTTAGGTCCAAATATAGCTGTAACAAATTCTCAGGTCCCTATGATTTTGACATATGCAAAGTAAGTCGACTTGCACAGCCTCGATGGTTCCAGGATGTTTCTCCCAAAATCCTGTTCTCCCTAGGTTGTTTTGCGCTAGATTGTTTCGCCCTAAAACCAAAATTTGAGGGCGAAGTTTTAAGTGACAACTTAAGTCTTCTTTATGTCTTCCATATGATTAAAATCAATTTTATAAAAAACAATGTATTTGTGTTTTTTTAAGCGAGTGTCACAAATGGTAGCTGTGAAAAGCTGACTCTGCACTCAGACAGTTGCTACATGAAATATACCTAACACCAATGTAGAAAGTTATCAATAAGTTGAGTTGATATTTTTAATTATCAATTGTTATATTAGCGTATCAATAATAAAAAGAGAATATAGGGCAAAACAAACAAGGGCGAATTGGAGTTAAGGCGAAACAACCCTAAGCGCGAACAGGATTTAGGGCGAAACAACCTGTTACCGCTTCGATCTAATGTTATAGGCAAATGGCTAGAGGAAACTTGTGCTAGTATAAATTCTGAAACAATTTCTCAAGTAATGAAGTACCGCAATATACAGAAACTGTTACCCAAATGCAGGATTATTACCCATATGCTGGGTTGTGCTGTTGTGTCCAACCAATTACAAGGTTGGGGCGGATTTATTTTTAAAGGGAGGGATATAAATCATGCAGTGTAGGGGGTTTATTTTACGTTAAACTGTTTAACATATTTGACCAAATGGTGAAACATATTTCCATAGTACCCTAAAACACTTTAGGGGGTACCGAATCATATAACCCGAAAACCGACAATTTCGGGTGCAGAAACGACGTCGGTACTGTACAGTATCGTCGAGACAGTCAGACAGTAGTCAGTTACACAGATCGCTCAAAATGTCGTATAAACTTGACAGTCGGCGGTCATTGAACTACTGTACCTTCTTCTCTGTCGTCACAGAAATAGAATCAATGACGTCTCCATTTTCTCTATAGAGAAGGGAAGCGTGCTCATCTTCCCCGACATCACTCTCAAAACTGTTAGCTCTCCGTGACATAGCCCTGTTTGTATTTGTTTACTTCACATCCGCCATTTTGTTCAACGAAAATGTCACGTGTTTATCACATGATTAGATATAAACTGAAAGTAAAGCGCGCCAATATTTAGACTTTTGATTTCCTGACGTGATACAATATTTACATACCAAATAATTTAGCAAATGAAAAACAGGATTTAAGTGATAATTTATTCTTAAACCAATTACCAAATTGAAATATTACCAAGGGTGATATTGGTTGTAAAACAAACATCTGGTAAAGAGGGGTACAGTATACATGCGTTTAAAGATATATAACTCCTAAATCCCTCGTTTAAACATTGTCCCTCAGCCCACAGGGGACGTCACTCTTCATTCATTTACACAACAATTTATTCCAATGTCCCAATAACCATAAAGGCCTTTGAAAGTAAATTTTGTTAAGATCCCATAATTCTTGTGTGTGTGTGGGTGTATATATATATGGTCATACTACTAGTGTTGTGACACTGGGACTCACTAATAAAGTACACAGAAGTGTGGCAAGACCCCCTGGCCAATCGTTTTTTCATGCCTTACAATTGTCTACAAGGTTATAGGGTGGGGATTTCATTAGTTTTCATATGTAATATATAACCTAGGGAAAAAGTCACCAGGGGCGTGACTGGATCGAAAGGCGAACTCTAGTAGCATGATTGAGTGTGTGAACTACATGACAGGGATCTCAATCATATCCAAGATCTGATGCTGATGGGACTAAATCCTCAGTGTAGGACCGGAACCCTGAGCTAGTCCTGGTAAAGGTATTTGTCTCTTACAGTATACCTACTTTTTCAAGCAGAACAGCGGGCCGTACATCCGAAATTGTTCTATTGGGAGATTCCAGTCCCATGGTCAACTGACCAATTCCATTTATACAAGATAATAAGACAAAATCAACTTTCCTTATTATTACTTCATACCAAATGTGGTGACAACCCAGGCAAGCATTAGTTCACTACAGTTCATACAGGTACACGGGGACATCACATGGCAACCTAAACGTATAATTACACTACAACCCTGGGTTACAGCTATTTAATGATATCTTTCTGATACAGGATTTCATACCCTCTACACCAGACTCAATACATGACAATTGTTATAATAAAAAGATTTATTTTTATTGTAACGACACTACAGTTCATAAACTAGCTTTGAAATTATAAAATAAATCAATGTTTTCCCTGTGTTTGTCCAGTGCATTCCGGTAAAGCTATTCCACACATTTGCGGTTCTTAGTAAAAAAAACACTATCTTTCCTCTTCATAATTGTACGATGTTAGGGGTATATTTTCAAAGAATTTCCTCTGTTCCCCGATCGATTTGAAACATTTTCCTTAACTTCAAAAAACCAGTAACATCGTGGTCGTATTTCCCTTGGATTACTGATTTATAAAGTTCTATTTTCCCTTGGATTAATTTATAAAGTTCTATCATATCTCCTCGCTGTCTCAGGCTGTATCATAACATTGGCATTTCCGCATCTGATATCTCTATAGAGCAGTGTCAGAAAGCTGGTTTGTAAAGTCGTTTGCAGTGTTCCTTCCTACAATTGTACGTGCATATGGACACCATGTATCACACCATTTTTACATTCTTTAGAGATCTTCCTGGAGCAGGTTTTGATCAGCTTCTTTAGTGATAACTCTGAATATTTTTGTGTCATATGCGAACAAGTACGCCTCCGAATCCAGAGTATCGGGTAGGTCATTAATGTAGACGACAAACAATATGGGACCTATTACAGACCCTTGTGGACCACCTGATGTGACATGTTTTCGTTCCGAGTAATCTCCATTAATAACGACGCATTGTTTTCTGTCTTTTAAGAAATCCTCTATGCATCTTACAACTGTAGATGTATTCCGTAAGCTTTTACTTTTTAAACAAGTCTCTGGTGTGGTACGATACCAAACGCCTTTTGGAAATCTGTTTAAATACAATCGATAAGGTTTCCTTTCTCCATTGCGAGTTGAAGAGTTGTCGATCTGCCCGATATAAATCCATATCGTTTATTGCTAAAAGGTGAGTTGAATTCCATTTGATTAACTAAGTGATTTCTTACGAGTGTCTCCATTGTTTCGCACACAATTGAAGTGAGACTGACGTGCCTGTAACTTCCAGCAAGTGACTTGTTTCTTTTCTTATAGATTGATTGTATAGTTATGTCAATGGCTCTACTGTTGTGTTGGCCAGCTCCTCGTTTATACAACAAAGAGTCCCATTGACATACGTTATAAACAATATATACCGGTATATAATACATTGCTGGCTCTTTTGTGTGAACATTTGATTTCTTTTACCATTTTTGACACCTGTGACCTTGAATGAAGGTCAAGGTTATTTATTTGAACAAATTTGTAAGTCCTCCATCCCAGCTACCTACTAGTCAAGTATCGTTACAATGATCAGTCTTCTTTAACTTAAGAAGAAGTTGTTTTAAGGTTTTAACAATTTCGACCCCTGTGAATAAAGGTCAAGGCCATTTATTTGAACACATTTTATATTCCCTTTATTCCAGCTTCCTTCTGGTCAACAAGTATAATTCTAGGCTTTTAGGTTTCTTGGAAAATGTCAAAAATGTCAATTGTTAATGGATGACAGATTATGGATAAAGATGGACAAAGAGTGATAGCAATAGGCAAAACAGCCTCGTCTCAGTTGACCTAACAAAATACAAGTCATATTGTTAAAATTCATTTCATTTTTATTTCATATTTGTTTTAATGCATAGTAATAAACATCACTTTGTCAATAAAATTTCAAATATCTGTTTTGTCTCTTAATACACACAAATACCATTATAAACTGAAACACATTGAATATAAATAAATAGCATAGGATAGTAGAAATAAAAATAAACTAATTGCACTGAGTAGAACATCTTTCACATAAATATACAGTATGCCTCCGCACTAACTAGTTCTTTGCTGTATGTGTTTATTAATGTTGAAAAGTACATGTTCATGCAATTTTTATAATGTCAGATATTTTACTTTCAGTTGCAGCCGTTAAAGTGTTGTGTAATATTCACAATCTCTTTAATGATAAAATGCCCAATAATTTCACAACAATATGCTGTAAAAAATATGTTTACCACAAAACTCACAACGTTTTAAAAATATCCTAGGCAAACGAGATCCAACATCCGTATCCGAATCTCTAAATATTCTTATGGTCTTCTGTGGATGGATTCCTAAGGGAATACACAAGTCCAGCACAAAAAGTAGTGAAAAGTCAGGTAGAAATGGTTAGACAGCATCCAACAGAAGGTTAATCAGCGCATTAACCTTCCAATGGACGTTGTCCAACTTTTTCTTCCCAAGCCATACAAAATATGTTTACCACAAAACTCACAGCAATGTTAAGCAGATTTGTTTATAACAAAAATCACAACAACATTATAAAAATCTGTTTACCGCACAACTCAAAACAATATCATAAATGTAACGTAGATTATACATTTATAAATGACGTAAGTATAGTACACAAAGTGTTTGATATGGATTAACGGAAATATACAGAAAATGGAGGTAGAAAGAATGTGTAACGGAAATATACAGAAAATGGAGGTAGAAAGAATGTGTAACGGAAATATACAGAAAATGGAGGTAGAAAATTAGCTTGCACCTCACATTGAATATTGCAACAAATTTGATGGAAAAATTAATAAACATCTGAGTGACAATGGTGACAGCGATGTTGTCTTCTGTTTTGAAGGTATTTTTGCTGCAAGATTTGGAAAAAAGAAGTAGGAAAGTGATATGTAGTAAAATAAAATACAATGACAAGAAACAATCAAAACATAACAGAAGGCTGAGAAATCAGTAAAAACACAAAAAACACATTACAAAGTCACTTACTTATACTAGAGTATTGTATCCTGTTCAACCATTGCAGTACCGAATGATATACATTTGTATTTTGGGAAACATTAATTTCACATACAAGATTCATAGTGATTTAAGTCCTGAGTATTTCATTACGTTGTAATTTGACATGGTTAAAAGCAGCTTAAAAGAATATTACCTGGAAAGAAATAGTCTTCAAAATTTTACCTTGGGTAGAAATAATCTTCAGTAAGTTAACCTCAGAAAAACATGCTTTGATAAATTGTATAAAGAAGAAACAGCCTGAAGTAATTTGTCTCGGGAAGACAACAGCCTGAAGTAATTTGTCTCAGGTAGGCAACAGCCTGAAGTAATTTGTCTCGGGTAGGCAACAGCCTGAAGTAATTTGTCTCGGGTAGGCAACAGCCTGAAGTAATTTGTCTCGGGTAGGCAACAGCCTGAAGTAATTTGTCTCAGGTAGGCAACAGCCTGAACTAATTTGTCTCGGGTAGGCAACATCCTGAAGTAATTTGTCTCAGGTAGGCAACAGCCTGAAGTACATTTTTGTCTCGGGTAGGCAACAGCCTGAACTTATTTGTCTCGGGTAGGCAACAGCCTGAAATAATTTGTCTCAACAGCCTGAAATAATTTGTCTTGGGTAGGCAACAGCCTGAAATAATTTGTCTCGGGTAGGCAACAGCCTGAAATAATTTGTCTCGGGTAGGCAACAGCCTGAAGTAATTTGTCTCGGGTAGGCAACAGCCTGAA